TATTGTGTCTGTGTCCTTGTTCCACATAATCTCATTATGCGAAATACACTCATTCAATATCTCGCCATATCAACAGTGCGGATAACACCGTTCCATTCTAAATGAGAATGACATGTATTAATAATGTTTTAAAGATTCTGAACTTTAATTAAATTCATTATGAACATTACTTTTTGATTATTATCCTTAAACATTATCCTCTCGTATATAACACTTATATACAATGTTTAAGGTTACATAAATAATCATGGAATTTTCATTGATATTCATAAAATATTCATAAATATATGCACATAAAATAATGAATAAACTCTTTTATTAAATAAATAATAAATATCCTATTACATCTCATGCTTCTAGGACACCATTCCCAACAACTTATTGGTAAAGAAACTGGTCTAGGTTAGAACATTAAGAAGAATACTATTGATGCATCTGAGGAGTGGTGGTATAATAAATTACAGGTATACAGAATTATGTGGTTTGTCATTGTTTATTCTAGTGTTGGACTTGGCAGGTTTAATTTATTCAAGTGCTCTTGCATATTCATCCCAACACATCGAGGTTTCGCACTCGGGGAATTGAACCACAGTTAGAAGAAAAGTTAAATAGGATCTTCATGAATACTGTGGCCACAGGAGTGTATTCTTGGACACCATTGACCACAATTTCGAATGGGTCGTCGACCAACAGGCAGTAAAGAAGTATTCAACCAAGCACATCGAAGTGTCATTGAACGCACTTTTGGTGTTTGGAAGAAAAAATGAAAAATTTTGAGAGACACGCCTAGTTATTCATTTAAGAAGCAAGTAAAAATAGTTATTGCAACAATGGCGCTTCATAACTATATTAGGATGCATGATAAGCGTGATCGACATTTTCAAGAAATCGAGGATAATCTAGATGTTTTCGATTATGAAGAGCATCAACTGGAGGACAATGTAGAAGAAGCTGAAGCTTCACTATCACAAGAAATGGTTGAAGTACGAGTTCAAATTGCGACAAGTTTAATAAACACGACTTAATTCTTTTAATGACTCTGTCAGTTTTTTGAACATGAAATGTACTTTTTTGTTCAACAAATTGATTACTCACTAATGCTCTTTTTAGTTGTGACTATATTGTGAATGAAGAAATGAAAAAAAAAATTAATTAATTATCATAAATTTATTGTTAAAAAACTTAAAATCATAGCATTATGTTTTTTTAAGTTAAATAAATATTTCTAAATACCAAAAACAATTAATATATTTAAGTTCCATGCCATGTCTATTTTGATCATTTTACATACCCACAGTAATTTAACATCAAAATTTATCAAACGCTATTACACTGATTTTAGAACTAGCACGGCTACAATAATTACAGTTTATCAAACACTCAGCTGCTTCTTATAACAGCTGTTTCTTCCTTCAACACAGCTAAAAGTAATTTTTCTAAAATTCACAGCAATACCAAACTAAGCCATTGAGAACCACGATAAATGACCATAAAATGTCCTTAAAGCTTTGCGTATGAGAAAGCTAGAGAATTTTGTTCTTGCTTCTTGGAGTACCAAATATTACCATTTGCTATAATGCAGCTGATTCGGAGCCAAATTAACTTGAACAAGAAATTATTCGATTCACTACAGTTTTCAAAAACTTCTAACCACTTGAGGGATTCAATTGGTTAACCAACATTTCTTTTAGATGAATAAGAAATGTTGAAGATAGAAAAAGAATTACAAATAGGGCTGTTCATAAACTCGCAAGCCCAACCTACCCCATCCCAACCTAATCTAAAAAATACAATTTTTAGTATTAAATTTTTTTTTCCGCCCATTCAATGTTTGGCCTGAAGTTTTGAGGCGAGGTGTGGGTTTGGCTATAATAGCCCACACACCCCAACCCAACCCGCGTTCTAACTTACCTCCTTTAATATCTAACTCTAGACGTACAACTCATTTCTACTATCTAATTTCTTCATGTTTGAATTAAACCTCTATATTTGCTTTATATTAAGACTAATTTATGTTTGATGTTGAATGGACTACTTTACTTTATGTTTGATGTTGAATTTAACTTTGAATTTCTATTTGTTTGAATGTTGGAGTTATTATTTCTATTTGATGATGAACTTTGAATATTGGATTGAACTTTGAGTCTTTGATTCTTTAGATGTTGAAACCGATCACGTAACCCACCACGCACTGCCCCAACCCAACCAAACATCATTGGGTTGTGAAATTTTTCTAACATCGTTAAAGCCAAATATGTGTAACCCGCACCCTTTGGGGTGGGAAAAAAAAATCCTACCCCGCACCAACCCAACCCATAAACAGCCCTAATTACAAACAAAAGAAGACGACAGCTAGAAGCTAATTACAAGATTTCAACTATAAAAATCATAACAAAAAGAAGTTTATCACTGCGTCTAGTCGGATGTTGTTAGGAATTTTAAGCACTAGTTCATACTATTCAAAAGCAATAAGAAAACAAACGGAGAGAAAACAAGCAGAACACACACAGGATTTATAGTGGTTCAACATTGAGAGCTGCGTCGACTTGTTGCCCCCAGAATATCACTATAATTAGAGATGTACAAGGTATAATCCTTTCTTAAAAAAATACCTTGGTCTATTTTTCTCAACAGAAAACGATTGCCCTAAAAGTCCCTCGTATGTATCACAAGAATTGGGGCAAACCAATACACATGTAGAATTAGGTCGAACCACGGTAGGTGAGAAAAGTTTATGGTAAAATTTGACACAACATATGTCCCCACCGCCCGGTACACGAAAATGAGTCCACCAAGTGAAGCCACAGAATTCATTCCGAGTCCAGCTGAGTTTATCAGCATGCAATTTCTTATTCTCACATTCATTCGTGACAAGTCAAACAATGGCAAGTGAAATAGGATGTCATTCAAGAGAATGAGTGCAGGAAGAGAGACTCAAGCCCACATGGAACTGCATTAAAACTGAGGTCTAACCTAAAGTAACTCGGCTTTCAACACTGTTCTAGTTCCAAGGTTTGAGCTAAAGGGAAGAAACATCTGTATTTTCACAAGATTCCCCACGGCCTGCTACACCAAAAGAACCTTTTGCAGCTCACCAGTGTTTATTTTGATCCACAATAAAGGAGGAGGAAGCTATGTGACAGCCAAGTGAAGGAGCTTTATCAGGAATTCCACGCACCTCGGAAAATGTAGCTCGGTTAGTTTGACAGTTCCCATCACAACCGAGCCAATCTTGCGAGGTTTGCAGAGACAGCCGAAATAGTGCTCCCGTGGAGCATAGATTTGTAAGCCGAACTCTTCTGCTGCAGCTCTCCATTACGAGTTCAGCTATCTCATCTGAACAGGATATCGCTTCTCAACATGATAGAAACCAGTTCCAGAGTTCAAGACTGCATTTTAGAGAAATATGTTATGTTTCTTCATGCTAAGCAAAATTTGCAAAAAGATTCCAAGGGAATCCTTTTCTCTTCAATTTATCTTCTTTGGCTAATTGGCCATGGAGTAATTTCTCCAAACTGTATGAACTTCCCTGTGTATAAAATTATATTGTTAGATCAAACGGATTGAAGATCAAAGCCCAAAACTAACCAAAAAGATTTTAATTCGATGCATAGACATACATAGATGAACTTGAAAAGCGACAATCAATCATCGTTCTCCAACGTCATTTAACTTTTGTTTCTTCTGGTCAACGAAGGAATGTAATCTAAGAGACAGGGTGAGAAGCTTTATCTTGCCACTGATCTTCCTGGAAAGGTTCCATAGAACCCCATTTTCTTCCAACTTTCAGTTTGACATGCAAAGGGACTGAAGATAAATCATTTCATTAGATAATATACACGTGTCCACCAAATAGCAAATCATTTAACTAAAAGATGTCAAGCATATACCAAGAAGCGAAGCAGCATTTTCCATGCACATCCGCAACAATGATGCAGCTTCGTTTAATACAGAGGGATCGACTTCCAAAACTAACTCATCATGTACCTGAAAGAAACCAACAAAAGGAGCTGTTAATTTTCATGTTGCATGATAAGCAAATATGGCTCTTGTATTGCCTCCCACAACCAACGCAACCAAGTATTAAAAAAAACAAAAACAAAAAACAAAACAAAACAAAACAAAAACTACTTAATCAAGTATCTGAAAACTTCCAAGTGTTCCATTCATTCGACCTCCCAGATTTCATAATGTCCACGGAATTGGTTTTTTTTTTTTATTAAAAAAAAAAAATGAGCCTTCCAGGATACCTGTAATAGAATTCGACAGCAGCCGTTCAGCATGTTAAACCGTTTTGTAAGTGAGGAAGTGAAACCGGGCAAATCAACTCCAGCTATCACAGAATAAATATTTATCATTGCAATCTTAATTATGTCAGCAGCAGATCCCTGTAAAAGGCATATGTTAGACTTAGAACGTGCATCTGAGAATATCATGAATATATGGTTATCTTCGTATTCTTCTTTGTAATCCAGCCTCTCCAAACAAAAAGAACGGAAAAAGTTTTACCTGGCACACAGAATTCACAGCTTGTCTCTCAGCTTTAGATTTTTCTTTAGTGCTTCCGACTTCTATTTTTGACAAGAACCGTTTTCTTCCCTTCAGGGTCTTCACATATCTGAAATACAATTAAACATATAATCAAGGAACACTAACAAAGACAAAAGAAGAAAAAAAAAATCAGAACAGTGCATGAATTTTGCAATAGTCATCGACAACAACAAGAACAATAATAAACTCGTTACATTGAACAAGACAGTAACACTGTTCACTACAAGGCTTACTATAAAGGCTCACAAGGATAAAAAACCAACTGAAAAGAAAACGGGTAACTGAATGAATGAATGCATGCAACCTCTTTTACATTTGTCCGTGAGTAGGAAAAAAAATCGGAATGTAAGGTAGATAAAAATCATATAACAAACATCTTATATGAAGTACACAATTCATTTAAAATTACAAAACATGTTTACCCCTTTTCACGGCAGCAAGCAACAACTTCGTGAAGCCAAGAAGCAACACCGGGAAAAGAACTCTTGAAACTTTGAATTTTTTCCTTGGCATCAACTGGACTGCAACCAAGTCGTTCCGAAAGGGTGTTAGAACCCATTCCATAAAGAATGCCATACACCAGCCTTTTGGTTTGATCTCGTTCATGGGAGCCAACAGACTCTTCTGGACAACCAGTCCATCTAGCGGCTATCAAGGTAAAGACATCACCATGGGGTTTACTTAGGAGTTCAATTAGCGAGCAGTCTTTAGAGAAATGTGCCATCAGCCGCAGTTCTATTTGGGAATAATCTGCTGTTAGCAGTAACCAGTTGTCCTGATATAACAATTATAATAGAGATCAATAATTTGTACCATAGAATGATTTCTTCGGTTTTTTTTTTTTTCTCCTAAGATGACCCTGCAGAATTGAGATAAGGACTACCAAAACCTACAAGAAGCAAATTTTGCATCTGAGATTGCCATAAAATACTCATTTATCTAGATACCAAAATCATAGATCTGCCAACATATGATGAATCTGCCCATGTCCTTCCCCAAATTTATGCAAGAGAAGAGAGGCCTAACATCTACATTTGTATCCTATAAGGGGGAAAAAATTATTGATTTTCTTATGCTCAATTAATCGTCTTCTTTACTTGAATGTCATCTACCACCAGAGTTGACCACCTGACCTACCATGAGTCCCAATCCCTGCCTGAATTAGCAGAAGCATTTGACTTGAGTTCTCAGTGAGGGAGCTCAACTGGGCTCTAGCTTTCATTTGGTGCATTTGGATAATAAAATTGAGGAAATGATGATGGACATGGTTCTAGCGTTACAGGGGGAAAAAAACCAATGAAAATGGGCAAGAAAGGAAACTTCTGTCCAGCTTGCTTTTAGCAGTTTTAGTTCTGGAACAAGCTGTCCAGATTTCTTGTAACAAACTTCTCTACTGGTTTTCAGATACAAGAACATTCAAAGGGTTTGTTTTGGCCCGATATAAAAATACTTTCATACCTGAGTAGGAATAAAGTAATCACGAGCATTAATTTCATAACAATCTGCATCAGCTTCTCCTCCATTTTTATCCTTGTTGATTTTGACGACAACCATATGTTCAACACACTGCATTAACATAATTAAATATTTACAAAAATAATATATACAGATTTCAACTTGCAACTCCTTCAGTGTTTAAAGAATAAAAGAACAAAGAGAGAATGAAATGGGGAAAACCCACACCTGGAGATTAGGTTCCTCAATTGAAAGCCGACCAGTTGCAGTTGATGTTTGGAGCCAATGACCGTGTAAAGTGTGTTTGTGTGTCTTAGCAGAAAGTCTAGCGAGTGAACAAATTGATCCCAATGTGCAGTTCAAGAGCTTCGCCAATGTCCGATGCTCTTTAATGACTGGAATAATAGGATGCTCATGCCTGAAACCAAACCAAAAGCTGCCTAATGCATTTCTTGGAAAACATAAGAATGGAACAAACCAATTCCTTAAAACACAGCATGCATGGAAAGAAACCTATATAACATGTATATAAGACAACTGCAGAGTAGCAGCTTAAGTATCTAAAGAAATTCTGTTGTATATGCTAATTGCCTAATTCAAAAGACTAAATGCACCGTATGTCATCTACATCTAGAAATCCAAGAAACGAAAGCAGTTGGTCCATTTTGTGAAGAACACTTTTCTGAGAAACAAACTAGAAAGAAAAAGGCCCATTTATAATGGTTAAATTATACATATACTAAAGGAGATGACGGGATTTGTTCATGCTACAGTGCAATGAACAGTGTATTTCCCGTTTTAGCCTTGTTTTTTTCTTCTGATGAAATTTTAATTCTCATTATGTCATGCTGAGCGTAAATTTACTATATTGCCCTTTAGTTCAGAATTTTTTTTTCTATTTGCTGTGACCGTTTTGGTCATTTACACAGTGTTTTATTTTGACTTTTTCGTTTGTTGTGAATTGTTTTTGTTCCCTTCTTTCTGCAGTCATTTATCTCTCTCTTTCCTTTGTTTCCTTTGTTTTGTTTTGTTCTGCGTCTGTATTAATTAATAATATTAATTAATTGCTTCAATATTTGTAAAGTAAAACAATCCTGCAGATTTCAATCATAGTCCACTCAGTCCCTTGGGAAGAGATAATTTTTTTTTTTTTATTATTATTATTATTGTTATGTCCTGTTTACTTAATAGAATAACACAGACTAAAAAATAGTCTTCTGTTGATTTTTTATTCCCGTTATGTCCTTTTAAATGTAAAGTTATTAATATTGTCCTTTAGTTCAGCTTTTTTTGTTTTTGTTTATTCTGGCTGTTTTGATCATTTATACTCAGAATGAGTGTTTTATTTTCCCTTTTTCCGTTTGTTGCTTTTTGAATTGTTTTTCTTTCCTTCTTTCTGCAGCATCATTTATCTCTTTCATTTGTTTCTTCTGCAACCTTCTAGATCTCTTTTTTTTTTTCTCACTCAGATTGAGTTTTTTTTTCTTTTTCGTTTGTTGGTTTCTACGATCTTACCTTCTAGATATGTGTTTTTATTTCTTTGTTTCTACAGCAACATTTTTATAATATTTATTTCATATTATATAATTTAAACATCTTTATTTTTTTTAACACTTATATTTACAACTAATTTTCTCATTTTTATATTTGCAGCTAAAAGAAATGAAATGCTCAAGAATCACAACAACGTTGTATTTTATTTTGTACAATCTGTATATATATATTATAAATAATAATACTATATATGTCTGTATAAATATGTTTGTACAAATTTTATATCTATCATATAATACAATATTGTATAATACATGTATATATATAAATATATTTTAAATACAACTATCATATAATACAATACTGTACTCCGCAGCAACGCGTGGAATACAGGCTTGTTCAACCTAAAAGACAGTAACCCTAGTGACAAGGCCACACCAAAGTCAAAAGAATGCTTTCACATTTTCTACAAGTCCTAGCTGGTTTTTGACCCACGGCCTACAAAACAACAACCGCTGATCTTGTAAACAATTAATGCAGCATTGTCACCAATTTTTCCATTCTTTCTGATTAAGTCTTCAAATAGAAGAACCTGACAGGTAGGTCTCAAAGTCTTGGATTTTCAAAAGCTAAGAACACGCTATGGTGGAGTATAAACATTCCAAGATCTAATCGGCATGTCTATTCTTCATGATAGTAAGGTTATGAGACGCAACCAAGGAAAATACCTTAATAAGTCTAAACAATGCTTGTCTGTACTTGGATGTTGTTTTCCTTTGTTGTGCTTCTCTGGTATGGGTAGCTTCAATTGTCCATACAATACGTGAGCTATATCTGCTGCTGTGTATAATGAAAACGTCGTGCCAGCCAGCTTATAAGCTTCCTTCTTAAGAGACCTCAACTTTTTACCCAACACATTACGTGCTTTGAGACATCCCTCCACATCAACACCAATTCCCCAAAGCTCCATGTCTGCAAGAATGTCAACCTTGGTAGACACGAGAATTAAACAAGTGTCAAAGCTTATAATAAAAAATTTGTTTTTCTTTGAATTTCATCGCAAATGTGATCAAACAAAAGGAAAATCCATCCTCTCAAAATTTTTAGAGATAACATGGAAGATTTACCAAAGGAATTTCAACACTCAAAAGTGCTTCAGTGAGTTCTTCAGAGACAAGTAACTTCCAGAGAACAGAACATAATGCTCGTGTTTGCGCAACCCGGCGGCAGCAACCATTATGAGCAGCCCTTCGCATCTGATTCTTCCATCTGCCATTTTGATTAGCAGCTGCTGCGGCCTCACCAGATAACCTTTTCTTAACTTCCTGTTTTCACATCTTAAACTTCAAAATCCAAACTAAAGATAACAAACATCTAGGTATTAATTCAACACCAAATATTCAAAAGTTATTTTTCTGCATTCCAAATATGCTGATGGAACAGATCAGTATTGGAATTATATAAATAAAAACTCTCTTCCAAGCGACAAAACAAAAAAGTTTGGTTTTGACCTCACATTTGGTAATCTATTTGATAATACTACCTTTTCCAAATTAGGACTAGAGCTTCTCTCCTCATCTGGCCAAAGAATCCATGCCACAATGCACAAGTCAATTCCACCACTTACATGAATTGGGGTCAATAATAGGAATGAGCTGTCTATGATTTCAAACTCCGTGTTTTCCACTGCAAATTCCTTGCAATATAATTTCTGAACTGAAACTATAGGACTTTTAAGTGCCTGAACTTGAACTTTCAAATTCCAAGTATACTTTCTGACATCTCTTTTCCCCATTATCCCACTTATCCTATCCCATCTACGTCTAACCATCTCCAACCAATTGTTAGAAGGTAAAAGATTATTTTGTTTACCAGATGAATTTGAATGTAAGCAATCATTTATTTTGTTGTTAGACCAGAGTAGATCTTTAGGAAGACTGACGTAATACACAGCCGAATTTTCCCAACAGATGGCTATGCCATGCAATTCAAAATGGCTACCAGAAGTCATTTCTGATCTTTTGTTGTAGTGGACGTCAAAATAGAACTCTGTCGCATTGTCCCAAAGATCCAAAAAAGAATCAAACCCACCTGGAGTATTAGTTGCAAGAATAGGGCCTTTCTTAGAAGCAGCAACCTTAGAGCCAGAAGATAAGTTTACATTCCTCCGCTGTTCCCCCGTTCGAGGATTAACAGCGACATTATCTGTCATGGTTTTATCATCCTGCTTTTGTAACTGAATTAGCTGTGTCAAATTAGCATCCTTGGAACGACAAACAGGAGCACCAATCTCATTCTGAAGGGTATCAGAGCCTTCCACTAATACCATAGGATCACTGGCACCCAGCTCATGAGGCATAATACCATCTAAATGTACTTCTGGAGCCACTGTATTAGTATCTAATGCCCTCGTCAACTTCTCCTCACTTACTGACACAGCTTTATCAGTCAGGACAGTTCCTTCTTCAGATGTCTTAACCAAGAGTTCACCAACAAAGCTATTACCAGTGCCATTTCCGGGTGAAGTGGAAGCTCCTTGCCCCCATGGATTGCCAGCAGCAGCAGGCAATGGTGGACCAGAAAATTGTGGAACATCAAGTCCTAGAGATTTGAAAGCAGAGAAGGCAGCAATCCTTGCCTCTTCAGCCTTCTCCAGAACTATCTTGCGTGCTGCATTCTTGATCTTCTTGGCTGCTCCCACTTGTATGCGCCTTTGAGCAGAACCTTCTAAAGAAATGTGATGAACTTCCAGCATTAAGCAAGTGAAATAATAAGTTATAAAAGGAATGTAATTCAAGAATGAATCATTCACAATGAATGAAAAAAAAAAAAAAAAACACTAAACTTTAGCAAAAAGAATAGCACTGTTAAATTGTAAAAGCAAACTTGAATAACCTCGGGCAAAACAAATGAAATGACATTAAAATTATAGGTTGCTGGAAAGTAAGAAACTTCATCTCCCCCACCCTGCCAACCAACAATTATTACTACTCTTGATTTCTAGGACATGTGACCCTCCACTAATTTTGTTATCTGTCATTTTGCTGATGAATTTAGTCATAAAATACAAGGTAAAATAAAGAGAAGGGACACAAAACTCAAGATGTATGTGAGAAATGCTATCGTTGTCCCTAAAGACAAAAATAGACACAACAAAGGCATGCCAGCAACACACGAGGATCTTTGAAAGAATCTATTTTGTATATAATATCAGTGACAAGAGAATATTTCCTGCTTAATCAGGACCAAGAGCGTAAGACATTGCAACATGTAGATCTAATCTGTGGAACTGTAGCGGCTAAGGGGCCATCATATAGCTCTCAAATAAACTCATTATTCAGTCAGCAAATTCCAATAGCATAGGAAAGTTATCATAACAAACAACTTATCATCGTTATCAACCAAAGAGCATATGTAACCTAAGTTTCCAATGCATCACCTTGTCCAGCCCATGAGGAGGTTTCAAAAAGAGCTTTGACAATTTCAGGGATAGATGCTTCAGCAATCGATAGAGGTGTACGCAGGCCAGCTTTGTAAAGAGCTCTAGCTCGAGAACCCTGAAAGTTGAATAAGAATAACATCCAACTCAGAGCATGCGATCAGGATCTCAGTGGGGCATCAATGTAAGAGAACCGACTATCAAAATTCAAGAGTACTTGGAAGTAGATTTCACGGAAAGGAAAGGAAGAAGAGAGAATGAAATGGAGAGGAGTCAAGAACCTTAACATAGGGAATGGTAGTGAGCTCCACAATCTCTGATCTCACCCCAAATGATACACGATTTTGAAACTTGGCAACTAAACCTTCCAGATCATGCCATCCAAGCCTTTCACAAAATACGGATACCATAGATGCAAACCTTCCAGCATTCTCTTGTAAGGCTTGCACCTTGCCTCTAGCCACATTAAAAGCTTCGCAGACCTCCGCAACAAGAGCTTCCTTCACCCCATATATACAATAAAAGAAAAGGCAGAGATATGCAAGGCAGAAGTTTCAGATTTAGCACAAGATACCAATCTGATAGATTTCAATCAGCGAAACCAAAAAGAAAGAACAGAAGAGATAATTACATGTTTTCTTCCATGTAATTTTAAGAAACAAAGAAACTACATATACACATTCATATTTACAGAATTAAAAGAAAGAAGATACACGTTAGAACTATTGGGAAAGTATCCGTTAGCATGCAATAAATACTATTGATACTTACAGATATATCTGGCTGAAGAAGTAAGATATATGTGATTATTCCAAACAAAAAAAAAAAGGAAAAAAGAAAGGAAGAAAAAGGGAGGAACATATGGTCAAAAATAAAGCACCTGAACTAGCCTTGACAAGATCAGAGCAACATAGAATCTTTTACACACTCGAAGTGCTTGCTCATCCGAAAGCAGAGTATTATTTGTGATTCCTAGTGGGTTTTGAAATTTGCCATGCAATCCAGTTATCTTTTCTTTCGATTTTGACGTACGCATCGGTGCACCATGTGCCATGCGCATCAAAAATGGTTCCATCACTCCCACTCGATAGCCAACAGACTGTACTTCAAAAAGATGGAATGAGAAAATTAAAGGATCCATAAAAAAAAGTATAGTCAAAATGGTAAGCAACAATAACCACACATAAAAGCAAGTATAAATATTGGTTCAAAATGAAGCAGGGATATAGAAACTTATCAGATAAAAATCTATTATTTTCTTATCTCATAAAAAAATATCAAATAGAGATAACAGCACGCATTCCCAGTACAATTTTGTTTTCCTTCTACATCCCTGCCATGAAACTAAAATCGTTTGCTCTAAAATTTAAACCAAAAAAAAAAAATCAATTAAGTGCTAAAACAATCCATTTTAAATGGTTGAACCAAGGGGGTAAAAAGTACAAATCAAGGTGGTCACTCAGCCTGTGGGTCAGTTTCAGCTAAAGATATAAACGCTCATCAAACATATTCGCAATTTTAGCAAGAGTAGCCTCTTTTAGCCAGAAAAAGCGAGTCATGCACCCAAGAGATTCTGTAAAGGTTCCGATAACATCTTCAGATACGCCCAAAATGGTTATTGCAAAACAAAATTTCTAGTTGTAAGAAAATTTACCTGGTCTAGGGGAGACAATTCCATAAACCGCTGGTAATAGAGTTCCCAATTTGGCTCAACATCAACGTTAATGGGTGTTACTAGGTAAACTAAATGCAAATCAGAAGCAAGAACAAATCCTTCTCTTGCCCTTGAAAGATCATCCAATACAATCTGAGAAGCAGCCAAAAACTTAATATTACAAATAAAATCATAGTTTTTCTTTCCAAACAGAGAAATTAGAGTTCCGATATTGCACAACATATTTTTGGAATTTGATTACAGGATAATGAACACAGAACACAAGAATCTTTACAAGTGATTCTTCCGGGGAAAGAGAACTGCCAAAAGAGGCACGCCCAAGAGGTGTGGTACTGTACAACTTAGTATCTTCATTCCATTCAAGGAATTTTCTGTGGCACAACCACCGAAGAGATTCCTGTGCTGATTTGACCACATCCTGAAATGGTTTTGTAGAATTCAAAAGGGTACACCTCACGTATCGATGAATATCATTAGCAGTTTGAACAATTCCCCCAGCTACAACTTCTAAAATTGCATGAATCATGCCATTCATATCTTCAGATAGACAAGAATGCAATGGTGGACAATCTTCATTAAGAAGTCCCAAAATTCTTTTTATCTCCTCTGGTTTGCAAATAAGCACCTAATTAGAGATGAAACATTAAGGAAGATAGGTTAAAGACATTAACAAAGGACTATACTGAAAAATATAAACAGTAACTGGGGGAAAAAAGCAGTAATTAAAAGCCATCTATATGTACGTTAAAGAATCACATAAAATAGGGTCCTAGGATGAACATACACTTTCGCCCTTTGTATCTATTCCGGTACGACCAGCCCGACCTGCCATCTGTTTATACCTCGTCCCATCAAGAAAATCACGACCAATCCTGGGTTGACGAAAAATGACCCTTCTAGCTGGTAAATTAACCCCAGCAGCCAAAGTAGATGTAGCAGTTAAAACCCGTACAAGGCCTTTCCGATAGCAGGTCTCAACAATCTCTCTCTCTTCAACCTAATAAAGAATGAAAACAGTATAAAACCTTTAAGTTCAACCAGAAAATAATTTGCAGGTAAATCAAAAGAGCAAGAAACTCTAGGTACCAAAATGAAATAATGAAAAGACAAGATAACTAAATATAAGAAAATACCACGAGCCCAGCATGGTGGTAAGCAACGCCAAAAGGAAGTGTTTCTTCTAATATTGGATCCAATCCAGCAGGAGACCTCCGTAAGGCATCAATAGCAGAAGTAATATCAACAAATTCAGTATCAGCATTCTGAAAGCCAACTGAATAACTTTTGAGGAATCTTGAAACATGTCTAGCAGTCGATTCGCAGCCTTTTCTAGTAGAGCAAAATATCAACACTGAATGACCCTCTTGGACAACCTAAAATATATTCCACAATTAATAAGTCTACAAATTCAAATTGATGCTCGGACCAGCTTCATTAAAGGGCAGGTTGAGAGTCTGTACCTCATTGCACAACTCCACAACATGATCCGGATCTTTGCCACCAAGATCAGCTGCTTTGCAAATTGTTCTTACAACATCCATTTGTTTGTTATAAATTGTGTTACCAACCTTAATATATTCTTCCAATGGCACTGGACGGAAATCAGTCTGGTATAGTGCTGCCTGCAAACGTGTTTGTGGGCGGGAAAAAAAGTTAAAAAGGCAATAAAGGGACTGGAAAATCATGCAAAGCTTTGTAAGGTAGTAGCACTACTTTCTGAAGCAAAAATGCAAAAGTTCAGGGTATATGGTTCTAATTAGGGTAACATTTACTCTTCCAGCTTCTATATGTTTGTTTCACTTATGTTTGACACTTCAACTAAGCTAAAAATGAAATTCCCAATACAAGAGCTGAAAAATGAAAATTGAACGCAGTTTAAATAAATCTGCCTTACTTTATTAATCGAAAGAAAGTTCACTTAAATAGACTAGGGCATGAATACCGAGTCCATTATCTTCTCTAAGATAATCTATCCTATTTGAATTCAAATACTAATTGATAATTCCTAATCCAAATAACCGGAAATAATAAACTAAATAATAAAGATAACTATTTGACTTATTCAACCTATCTCTAAAAGATCTTATTTGCTAACACTCCCCCTCAAGCTTGGCCGTAGATATCAATAAGCCTAAGCTTGCCTACAAAATACTCGAACGTTGGTCTAGAAAGTCCTTTGGTGAGTATATCCGCAACTTGTTGTCATGTAGGAATGTACTCAATGCTGATGATTCCCTTCTCTAGCTTTCAGTAATAAAGTGTCTATCCATCTCCACATGTTTGGTTCTATCATGATGGACTAGGTTGTGTGCTATGCTGATAGTAGCATTGTTATCACAGTAGAGCTGCATAGTAAACTCACAACTGATCTTCAACTCTTCTAGCAACCGTTTCAACCAAATTGCTTTGCAAGTGCCATGAGCCATGGCTCTGTATTCAGCTTCAGCACTGCTTCTTGCTACTACGAACTGTTTTTTACTGCGCCAAGTCACCAAGGCATGTGCAATATCCGGATCTTGATTCCTATCTTCGACAGATCCAGCCCAATCAGCATCAGTGAAGATTTCCACTCTCCTGTTTTCTTCTTTTCCAAAAAATAATCCTCTTCCCGGAGTTTTTTTGAGATATCTCAATATCCGATAAATAGCCTCGAAGTGTCCTTGGCGCAGTGAATGCATTTGTTGGCTTACCACACTAATTGCAAAGGCGATGTCCGGTCTTGTATGTGAGAGGTATATCAGTTTTCCCACTAGTCGTTGATATCTTTCTCTATCAGCCATCTCTCCACCAATTGCTTTTGCCTTGCCTCCTTGTTCAATTGGAGTTTCTATCGGTTTGCACCCCAGCATACCCGTTTCTTGCAATAGGTCTAGTGTATACTTCCTTTCTGATATGGAGATCCCATTTTTGCTTCTTGCAACTTCCATTCCCAAGAAATATCTCAGCATACCGAGATCTTTAACTTCAAACTCTCAGCCATCAACCTTTTAATTCTCGTCATTTCTTCAAAGTTGTCCCCAGTAAATATTATATCATCTACATATACTATTAGGACTGTGATCTTTCCATCTAATGAGTGCTTAACAAACAACATGTGATCGGTTTGTCCTTGTGAGTATCTGTGGCTTTTGATCACCTTTGAAAATCTATCAAACCATGTGCGCGGAGATTGTTTCAGTCCATATAGCGATTTCCTCAGTTTGCACACCATCTTGTTTCTCTTACCCTCTTCAAACCCGGGTGGTAGGCTCATATACACTTCTTCCTCCAATTCACCATTTAAAAAAGCATTCTTCACGTCAAATTGAACCAGAGGCCAATCCAGATTTGCCGCTAATGATAGAAGGACTCTTATTGTGTTGAACTTTGCAACTGGGGCAAATGTCTCAGTGTAATCGATTCCATAGGTTTGTGTAAAACCTTTTGCAACGAGCCGTGCTTTGTACCTTTCTATTGATCCATCCGGCTTGAATTTGACAGTGAATACCCATTTGCATCCAACCACACTCTTGCCTTGTGGTAGTTCAACCACACTCCATGTGTTATTTTTCTCGAGCGCTTGCATCTCTTCAAGTACTGTGTTTTTCCATTCAGGAACAGCTAGAGCTTCTTCTATTGACCTGGGAATATTGACACTACACAACTTTGTGGTGAAGGCACGAAAACATGGAGACAAACTATCATATGACACAAATTTGGATATGGGATGTTGTGTACATGTCCTAACACCTTTCCTATGGGCAATTGGTATATCTAGCGTTTCACAAGTGTCTTCGGAATTACCTGGATCAGAGGAAGTAGTTCCTAGCATTGGTTCGGATTCTGGACAGTGCATGGTGTTCATGAGGGGCCTGTTTCCTTGAGAATGTTTTTTCCGAGAGTAAACACGCAGCACTTGTTGATTTGGTCCACTAAGGTCTCTTCTTGTTTCTGTTTCACGAACCAATACTTGTGTTTGCTGTGGCATATTTTAAGAGGGTGGTATGATGTTGGAAGTGGTAAGGTCGGGTGTGGTGGGTGTAGTTGCAACTGTTTCAGTTGCAGTCTCGGGCAGTGAGGTTATAGACATAGGTGGAGTTTCAGATATAGGCAGGGCAATGGTGTCCCAATCCCATATATGAGCTTCTTGATCATGATTCTCCCCCTGAAGCGAATTGGGGGAATAATATGGCATGTCTTCGAAGAAGGTGACATCACATGAGATAAACATTTTCTTTTGCTTAGGGCAGTAGCGTCGGTATCCTTTCTAGGTAGGAGAATAGCCGAGAAAGATAATCTTAATTGCTCGAGGGTAAAGTTTGGTTCGGTTTTGGGGATGAATATGGACAAAAGTAGTGCAGCCAAACGTCTTAAGCGGAAGGTTATTTATGTTTTTAAGATGTGGATAGGTCTTTGTGAGCTGGGATAATGGGGAATGGAATTTTAAGGTGCGGGTAGGTAGGCGGTTTATGAGAAACGCAACAGTTAAGATCGCATCTCCCCATAGGTATTTGGGAACATTCGTTGTAAACATGAGTGCACGAGCTACTTCCAATAAGTGCCTGTTTTTCCTTTCCGATACTCCGTTTTGCTACGGGGTATCAACACATGAACTTTGATGAATGATTCCTTGTTGTAGCAAGCACTCTCCCAAGATAGACTGAAAGTATTCTCTCCCGTTATCTGTTCTCAGTACACATACCTTTTTCTAAAACTGGGTTTGGATCATGTTATTGAAATTTCGGAACACTTGGCAGGTTTCTGATTTTTCTCGAAGAAGGTATACCCAAGTTGTTCGTGTGTGATCATCAATAAACGTCACAAACCATCTTTTTCCATTTGTGGTGGTAATTCTTGACGGTCCCCAGATATCACTATGAATTAAAGCAAATGGGCTAGAGGGCATATAAGGTTTGGGAGAAAATGGTACCCGAGTGTGTTTCGCATATTGACAAATATCACAATGAAAAAAAAAAAACAGTACTTTTATTCTTAAATAAGGGTGGTAATAAATGTTTTAAATACAAAAAATTAGGGTGGCCAAGTCTATATGCCACAACATTATTTCCCTATTACTAGAAACAGAAACTGATGAAACTCCAGATGCAAATGCTTGTTGACTCTCACTCTCTATGTCCTCGAAGTAATAAAGCCCCTTATGAACTCTAGCACTGCCAATCGTTTTCCCCGATGATAGGTCCTGAAAATAACATTTAGAAGGGTGAAACATAGCAACACAGTTATTATCACGAGTGAGTTTACTTATGGATAACAAATTGCATCTTAAGGTGGGAACATGAAGAACCGACTCAAGTGTTAAGTCTTTGGATACTTGAATTGACCCTATTCCGGCAACCGAAGATAAGGATCCATCTGCAATGTTTACTTTAACAGGACTATGACTAGGGGTAAAAGAGAGAGAAAAATCAGAGACACCTGTCATGTGGTCGGAGGCACCAGAATCAATGATCTATGGTTCCTTAGAGTGGAAGGTACACTTAAAGGATGAGTGAAAGTTCCCAATCTGGGCTACAGAACAGGATCCGGGATTTGGAGTTGACGAGGATGAGGCAGGTGATTGGTTGAGGAGGCGATAGAGTTGCTCAATCTGTCCTTTGCTAAACGGAAGGGATTTCTGGTTTTCTGTTGCTGCTCCTTTGTCTTGGTTTGATTGAGTTTGAAGCGCTCGTCCTTCATTCTGTCTTCGGGGAACCCAATTTGCGGGTTTACCATGAATTTTTCAGCATGTGTCACGTGTATGTCCTTATCGATTACAATGGTCACACCACATTTGTTCTCCTCGCCATGGGTTTCTAGACTCATTGTTGCTCCTTATTGGTTGTGCAGTATTCTTGATTGCCAGAGCCGAGCCCTATGTTAATGCTCCACCGGATGTTTCTTCCTCTGACAACATGACCTTCCGGCGATTCTCTTCTCTGCGAACCTCGGCAAAGGCTTCTTTGGTTGTTGGGAATGGCATTCTGCTTAAAACATGGCCCCTGACTTCGTCAAGATCCCGATTCAATCCTGCAAGAAAATCAAATACCCGTTCTTTTTCAAGAATCTGTCTCTGCTTTACATTGCACGTAGGACAAACCAAATCTTCTTCCAGGAAAAGATCCAATTCCTGCCAATTGTCTTGCAGATTGGTGAAGTACTTGGTAACCGATTTGGTTCCTTGCTTCATCTCCTTCAGTTTTGTGCGAATTTCAAAAACCTGTGAGGCATTGGCAAGATCGGAATATGTTTTTTTTGCAGTATCCCATACGTCTTTAGCAGTAGGAAGAAAGAGATATCGGCGGCTGATCATGGGCTCCATGGAGTTGATGAGCCATGCGTATACAATTGAGTTTTCGGAAAACCACTTTTTGTATGTAGAGTCAGTCGGTGCTGGAGCTTTAGCTTCACCAGTGATGTATTCGAATTTTCCCCTGCCACAGATCACAATTTTTACTGACTGAGACCATTGAAGATAATTTTTTCCATTGAGTTTGTGAGCCGTAATTTGGAGAGAGTTATTGTCTCCACCTTGAAACGCCGTGACGGACTGATCGGCGTGAGTTTTATCGGAGTTTTCTGATTTCGAATCATCTCCACGTGAGGACCCCATCATGGTTGTTTTTGCCTATTGAAATATTCAGAGTTCAAGGCTCTGATACCATGAACGCAGTTTAAATAAATCTACCTTTATTAATCGAAAGAAAGTTCACTTAAATAGACTAGGGCTTGAATACCGAGTCCATTATCTTCTCTAAGATAATCTATCCTATTTGAATTCAAATACTAATTGATAATTCCTAATCCAAATAACCAGAAATAATAAACTAAATAATAAAGATAACTATTTGACTTATTCAACTTATCTCTAAAAGATCTTATCTGCTAACAAAAATAGATAAACAAACAATTGGACAGTCTTTACAAATATCATTACAATCACAAATATATATATATATAGAGAGAGAGAGAGAGAGAAAGAGTAAATTGCCTTTAACCACGTTTTAGTGTAAAAAAATTCCTTACACGATCAACAAGCCTCAACTTTTTCATTGGCTTTTCTCAACAAAAAACATAGTCTTGAGTCGGAAATCTTATTGGATTTTCACAACAAAGTCTGTGCGAATTATTTTCAAGTCCATGACCATTTAACTCTTATACCGTGTCCACTATGCTATTAGGGGGAAAACAAAAAACAAAAACAAAAACAAACCAGAGAAGTCAATGAAAATTGCAGAAATTTCACCAAGTTGGGACATTTGCTGACAAGGAAACATTATGCAAAGAAAACTGTAACAAACTGAAATTAAAATGATACAGAAAATAAATTAGTTTTTGCGGTACTTCAAAATTTCAGTTGGTTATCATAATAGGAAGTCTAAGAGTCATTTTAGTTTCATGATGAGTTATTAGAGTGGCCTTTCGGAGTTTCAAGTTGTTTGGGATGTTTTAGAGTTTACGTATTGGAGTTAATGGTGGTGGTGTTTTTTTCTGACAGTAATCAGAATTTCAGATTGTCAATTTCAATTAAAGACACTTCTCAGTTCCTATTTTCTCATTTTAGTCATTCTCAAAGCTACAACGGTGCTTGGAGTCGTACTTATGTTACAGTCATTCTTTGTGTCACTCTTATACCCTGCTTACTATGCTGTTAGGACAGAAACCGACCAGAGAAGTAAATGAAAATTGCAGGACTTTCACCAAGTTGGAGCATTTGCTGACAAGAAAACATTAGGGAGCATAATAGGTGTTGATAGTTCCTCTTACTTGAAGCCAATCAGCAACAGCTCCCACATTTGGCATGGTTGCACTCATCCCCACAATTTGCAGACCATGAGCACAGTCAGCTTTACCACTGCTCATACCAAAACTTTCACCACTACTTCCTTCAGAGTTGCCTTCACCAGAAGCATAACGAAGTTTTGTCAACATGAGCTCCAAAAGATAACCCCTACTTCGATCACCAACCTGTTAACAATTATGAGAACCAACCTGTTAACAATTATGAGAAGATAAAACCATCTGAAGGAATCCAAGTCAAAAATCCATATGCAAGCAGCAGTAAATCGACATGTAACCACTCAAGGTTAGACAATATTAAAAATACCATGTGCAGTTCATCTATCACTATAATTCCAACTTCTAACAAACGACCTTCTTCCAACAATCTGTTTATCAAAGAGTTTGCCTTTTCTATCGTGCATACTGCTACAGAAGTATCTTTAGGAAGCGCTCCACCACCTTGGGTTCCATAATAACTACGAACATGCTTACCAAGTGGTTCAAGAAGAACCTCCAGATGTTCTGCCTGCGCCAGTCAGAAAGGAGATTCAAAAAGTTATAACAAGTTATGGTAACAAAAAGTGTAACCTGTAAACTAATACACGTCAGGGAAAAAGACAATAATCACCTTTTCAGCACAAATGGATACATAAGGAAGCACAAGTAGTGCCATTTTTCCAAATGATAAGACCCGCCGCAACATCAGAATTTCAGCAACAAAACTTTTACCTGCACTGTTGGAGGAACAAGATTTAACAATGGGTAAATGCCTCACGGAAAATACAAAGTCTTCATCAAAAATTCCTAAGATTTTCAAAACCTTTTTTCTTCTGCTGCTTCTTTTTCTTAAAGAATGAAGTTTCCGATTATTCAAAAGTGAAACGGTTAGTTTCACTACACTTCTTGAACCTTTGTTCCTTAAAATTTGACAAATATACGTACTCCTGAAACTTTGCATTTCGTCCATTTGTTCTTCTACAGCCAAGGGGCCTAAACAATTTCCATGACTACCTCAGAAACAAAGGAAGGTGTTGTGATTATCTGACCTTTTTAATAATCAAGTTTCGGATTTATTGAGAATGTACCATAGGCAACGCTCATAAGCATAATTCCTACATGGATCTGGTTATTGGATAGCAATAGCATAGGTAGATACCATTAACCCAAAAGAGGAATCTGGGGATTGTTACTAAAGCATTCAAACAAGGTTTAGAATCAAATTAAATAGGGCCAATCTGCTAGACCAGGCACAAAATTTACCCCATTGCCTATTATACACTTCTTTCTAATTTGCAAATATTGATATATACTAATACAAAACACATCCAATAACCAACTATACCACAAAGACATCGCAAAACACATATTTGAATGTAAATTTAAGTTAAATGCCAATTACATGAATACCTTGTAGATGCACAATATACAAGATTTCTTCTCTGCAATACACCATCCACCTGAAGGCAGTCAACCTGACCAATGGAGTATATATGAATATCATGCTCTAAACTTCTTTTGCCAAGACATATCTACTAATTTCAAAACGAGGGACTCAACAACATCAAAATAGCTTTCAAGCAATTGTGAATGTTGAGCATTTAAGGCCAAACAGCCAGATGACTTGGAAACTGATGGATTCAATAACTTTTTTTTTAATAAGAAACAGGAAACTTCATTGATCAATGAATATCTACAAAATATAGGAAGGCAGAAAAACATTATGCATAAATAACTAGACACCAGAGTATCAAGTCAGAGCATAGTAGACCATTGAAAAATAAACAAAAATGCTAGATAAAAACAATTAAAACTCTATAACGTGGCAGTAGTGTGTGATTGAACCCCAAGTTGAACTACATTCATCTCTACAAGAAGCAAAAAACCTGATTAACTCACTTGATATCATATGTGTCTGTTTTATATAGTTTTCCATAAAGAAACAAAATAAAAACTACGTTAAACAAATACATCTTTCCAAAATCAAAGAAATAAGAACGAACAAAAAAAAAAAAGAGGTGGATCCACCATTCAACATGTTTAAAAGTACCTGCCAAGGATACAGTTTTGAAATTCCTTTCTTTCTGTATATGTTACATATTTCAGATGGAAGCCAATTGTTCAAATCTAGCCAATCTTTACTTGGCATAACATTTGAGGGAGTAGCTTCACCAGATTCGCAATTACCAATTGTCGTTGTGATTCCACCAATTGGAAACTCATAGTTTATGCTTTCCTTATCCCTGCCAACTAAATTCCCCTTCCTTTTAGTCACTGCAGTAACAGAAAGAGTCTCTTCTTCTCCGCATATTGCTTTATTTTTTTCAGATTTTCTGCAATGGTTTATATTATCATCATTTCTTGGACTAGTAACAATTGGACCAAATGGAACGCCACCTCCATGAGTAGTGCTCTTTAAATCACCTGTAACGTCATAATGTACGATACTTCCACCCAAATTTTTGTCCTCGGATGAGAAATCAAAATGCTTAACAGGAATGGGAGACTTTTCTTCTTTTGAATCCCCATGCCTTCCTAGTAACCGTCCTAACGAAGCATGTGTAGACATACTTTTACCTTCGTTTATTGTTTCCATAAGTTTGCCATCACAGTTTGCAATTCTCAAATTGCACGAGTTCTTTTTATGACATTGGCTCTCTGCAGCACCGTTGTTTTCAGCAGCTTTAGCAGATAAGTTAACCATTGGACCACACAAGCCATCAGCAAGTTGGATAGCTTCATGCCAGAAAGCTTCTCCAGGTGAAAATATGGAACTTCCATGTCCTGACTTAGGGGTTTCACGCAAAGAACTTTTAGCAATCAAAGAACCTGGTGTACTGCATTCAATTATGTCCAGAGATGATTTTGAGGTATTACTGCATTTCATCAAGGTTGGCTGAAGTGCAAAAAGATCTTTATCAATAGTAACCTAACCATAATTGAAAATTTGTTAGTAAAGAGAACATAAATATAGAGACTTCTTATTAAAGCTAATGAATGAGAAGTAAATATTTCATCACCCTCTATGAAAGCTGCAAAATATACCTCAGCTTTACGAACAATAGTAGACTGCATATATTCAGAATTAATGTCATAGCAAGTGTTTTTGCATTCTATGTTTGATTGATCGGTAACACAATGCTTTTTGTTAGATGTTTCCTGAGGTAATGGACTTGCTTGTCTCTTATGGTCATTCACTTTCAATTCTGAGGGCAGATGCACATTTGATTGGATTTCACTGGATAAAAAATCAATTAAAACAATAGCATTGGAGAGCACTTGCTGTTAAACCTTCAATATGTTATCCCAGGCGATATCAGGGAAAAAAAAAAGTAATAATAATAATAACAATAATAATAAATACATAAAAGATATGAATACTGGTAGTCCAAGAAATCCGAAAAGCAAACTGGTGTCTATATTTAGGGTACAGTACCTGCAATACAAAGACAAAAAGTCGGCTGCAAACTTCTGTAGTTCAGTGTTTTCTGCACCTTGCACCAAATCTGGGGTACCCTTTCCAGAACCCCCAACTGCAACACTAGCCCCTCGAGGTAATCCTTCCAACATTCCCTTTTGGGATGCGTCAAGTGTTTTGGCAACTTGAGATTGAGACGACCGCTTACATTCATCATTTATACAACCATCAATCTCTACTGACAAACTCCTTTTTACTGGATCTTGCCTAGCCAACGAATCACGACCAGCGCACAAAGGCTCATCCTGCGAAGCGACTAAGTAATTGTCCAAAGTACCTTTGCCACTAGGGGACCCTTCTACTACAGTTTTCCCGCCCTTTTCATTTCTCCCAGGCTTCGAACAAGGTGACTTAGCTTTCCTTTTCTTGGAAGTGAAAAACTGCACACAGTAACCAATTATAAAAAACAACTTATGGCGTGTTTGGTTGGGCAGTTCCGCCCAGTTCCGCACACTTTGAGCGGAAGTGCAGCTCAAGTTTGCGTTTGGCAAGGTGCTTAATGAGAACTCAATGGGCAGTTCAGTTTAAACTGAACAGCCCAACTTAGAGTTCTAGTGCCCCCCTCAGTTCCACTTTTCAAGTCAATATTCTGCAGTGCCACAGCTCAGAAACTGGTTTTTCCCTCTTATGTTGTTGTCGTTTTTGACCCCCTTCCCCTATTCGCATGGTGTCGTTTTAGGACCTCCCTACCTTAAGTGCTTGTTTGTCGTTTTTGAGTTTGCATGCTATCGTTTTTCGATCCTCTTATAATTCTTTGTGTGCTGTTGTTTTTTTTTTTTTTTTTTTTTATAAATTTCTTTGTCGCAAATGCTACTTATACACTGTATATATGTTAACGGTGTTGTTGAATAAGCCTTTTTTTAATACAAATGTTTTAATATGTTTTTGTACAGGTTTTTAGTGTAAAAAATTTTCTTTTCAATGTAAAAACTTTTTAATTATTAACAACTTAAAAAAATGAATTTTTCAATTAGGGAAAAAAACTCATTTCAAATGAGTTGCTCTTACTCATCCAAACACTAATTTGGACTTTATTTCCTGTTTGGATTAAAAGTTCTACTGCACATTACACTAATTCGAATTATTGTTTAAATCACGCTATTCAAATTTTTTTGTTCTAATCTAACATGTTCAAATCAACACAATTTAAACCAGCGAATTAAAAGGCACTTAAATTTCTATGTAAGTTTTTTCCCAAGAGAAAACCAAATTAGACTCCTTTCACAATGATGAATTATTGCCTGCGTGTTCAATACAAAGGGTATAAAAAAAAAAAGAAAGAAAAAAAAAACAGGAGAGAGAATCAACACAATCCGAATACTTCCTAATTTAGGCTAGCATTAACACCAAAAAAAAAAAAAAACAAAAACAAAATTCAACCTTTGCTTGTTTAACCAATTTTCTACGTATTAAGGTGATGTTTATTTTAAGAGTTTTGCCTAATTTAAGATCATAATTTTTTATTTTAATTCTGAAATTTAAATTTTAAAAATTAAAAAGCCATGAACTAAAAATCACCCAAAACTCAAGAAGAAGTTTCTCTATCGACCAATTTTCTCTGCAACGTCTGAAGCAGAAATAAATAAAAAATTTTGCCTCTTTTCATTTCCGATCTGAAAAACCTAGAATCTGAAAGAAACTGAAAGATTCAAACCTAGAATCTCTAGGGTTTTGGGACTTATGGTAAAGAATTAGAGACGAACCTGATCGACGCGCGACCGGGGAGAATGGGACGCCATGATTGACGAATGTTAGCACTTGCTCTCTCTCTATCTCTTTCTCTCTCTTCCCACCCTTCTCTCCTCTTCCCCCGTTGGGGCGGTCGGAAGAGTGGTTTGAAATGGACGTGGAAGAAGGAACCTTTTTAAAGCCACCGGATACCGCCAAAGCGCCAATCTCGAATCTTTTTGCCCGGTTTCCCTCCCACTCCTTGCCACAGCACTGCCTTTCAAAATTTGGGAGCTTTCTCTTGCAACCATGCCATCTGTCGTTCAATATTTTAATTTACGCCCCTACTTATTACTTTTCTTATCCTTTAGGGAAAATTAGATTGGAACCTCTTCTTTAATTCAGAAAAAATACTAGCATCACTTTCTGTATCACTTTTTTTATCGTATTTACTATTTGATATATAAATTTCATTAATATAATATATTATTATTTAAATAGAAATTAAGATAGTATAGTTCAAGTGTTAAATAGTAAATGTAAAAAATACAAATAGATTAATAAAAAAAGTGATGTTAGTATTTTTCTTCACTTATATTAGTACAAAATGAAGATTTTGGAGCTGTTCTTTTACCCTTTTTGAGTTAGGTGACTTGATAGTAGATTTTGAGTTGAGTTTGAGTTATAACTTGAGTTGAAGTTGTAACTTAGTTTGTGTTTGGTTGTGTACATTTGAGTTATGGTTTGAGATAAGAATCTTTTTGAGGGCCCATTCAGTTTGCTAATTCGAGTTTTTAATTTGAGTTGAGATGTGATGTTGTGTGAGAGCTTTTTACTGTAGCAAAAAAGTTAGATGTGACTGTTTCTGAGAGCTTTTTACTGTAGTAAAACTCGAATTCTAAACTCAAATCAGCAAAATGAACGGGGCCGAGTTTGTGTTTGAGTTAGTCAAAACTTGAATTTATATTTATATAGTATTTTAACAAAAACTCAATGTTGATGGAAAATTTTAATAGGGTATATGGGTGGGGTTTTATTCGTCTTTTCGTTGTCAACGCTAGGGGTGTAAATCGGCCGGGTAGGGTAAGGTTGAGCTGAAAAATTGAGCCTACCCGATCAGTGCGGGTTGAGAAAATTTTGGATCGCGACACTCTCTTAAGTCTACAAACCCACAACCTTTCGGGTGACCTTGGGTAGGGTCGGGTTACTCAGGTTGGTAATCTCAAGGACCAAATGATCACTTTTTAGTCAATTAATCCGTGCTTGTTACAGAAGAAATCATTATCAAATAGAACATGTCTTTCCTTCAAGAGGGGGTCTAAATGCAAGGTGAACAATTAAAACACTCACTTTGAAATCAAACACTTCCAATATAAATAAAGAATGTCATAATTCAACAACTATGACATACAAGCATTTTTTACACAAATTGCGAATCCAAAACATAAATAAGTTAATAGTTTAAATGCATAAAGTCCATAAACTTATGAAAGTAAGAATTTGAAGTATTGGACATTGTTTTACCTACTTTGAACATGTTCGGCTGGGTAGGGTTACCTCGGGTTCATGTAACCCCACCCTGCGCCCCTACCCGCGCAGTGCGGGTTAAGCATAATTAAAACCGAAAATTAAATAAAAAATTGGAAACCCGTGATTTTTGAGTAGGGTCGGCTCGGCTCAACCGGGTTCGGGGTGATTTCTTACAGCCCTAGTCAACGCATAGAAAAAAAATCATCTCAATCAGAAATAAAACAAAAAAATTATAGCATTTTTAATAATAAAAAAAATACTGTTCATTAATTTGAGTTCGAGTTTCTGAACTCAAGTTGAAGGGGAAACTTGAACTCGAGTTTTAGTCCCAAACTCGAGTTCAAACTTAAAAGAACATGAACTTAAATAAAGTTATAACTCGAGTTATTTTTTTTTAGTTTTTGACTCAAAAAATAGGCTACCGAACGGCCCCTTTATATCTCAAACACTAGAAACCAACACGTTCTTCGAGAAAAATTATTTTCTTTTGTCACATGGGTTTTTCTTTTTGTCTAATCTACTGTTTCTTATGCTAATTTTCTTATGGTTTTCATTTGCATTTTTTTAGATAACAACCAAAACCACCTCTAATGTTTATCAACAAAAAAAAATGTTGCATTCCATTTTTATATCTTCAAAAATATTGTACCAGTTCTATACGTTTTACGAATTGTGTCAACAAAATTTCCTCCAGATTTTAACTTGATTTATAAGCGTGTTTTAACACAAAATTTATAGAATATAAGGAATAATTTTAACATGAATTGTTAAAATTATCAACACGTTTTATAAAATATTGGGGATATGTGTGGAATTCCTGAATAGGGACAAATGTAACATTTCGAGAGAACAGCGTGAGATGATTTTGTCATTAACCTTTTTTTTAAATTTGTTTCCCTAGCATTTTGGTCTTCTTGTGATCTATATTACCTTTTTTAGTGAATGACGGAAATAACAGAAATAGAGAAGACAATTAAAATTTATTGCTGACATTAGTTTTAAGTTTAGTAATGTCATAAAACTCTTTATATGTGATTTTATGTGAGAGCTTTTTACTGTAGCAAAACTCGAATCAGCGAAACAAACGAGGCCTATTCGCTCTTCCTCTCCTCCCATCTCTTTGATCCATCTCGCACGCCCTCCCTCTTTCTCTCTCCACTCTCTCTCGCTCACCCTCTATCTCTCTCTCCTCTCTCGCCCAACCTCTCTTTCTCCTTGCTTTCTCTCTCATCTTTTATCTCCATTCTTTCCCTCATGGACTTCGAGATGATAAGTCGCGTGGAGTAACGACAATTCGATCTCGCCATTGACAACGACGCGAGCAAAGCAGCATTGCTGATGTGCCGCCATCATTTCCGTAGATGCTGACTAGAGACATCGTGGGGTGGTTTTTCGCGCATGTAGATTTTAAGGTTTGAATAGTTGGTAAATGCATATGCAAAATTTACATGATAAATGCTTCATTTACTAACGAACAGTTGTGTTTAATTTGATAAATGAAGGATTTATGTGGCAAGTGATTGATTCACTAGTAAAGTAAAGTATTTTATGATAAATTGACAATTTGTATGGTAAATTCATTATTTACGTTGTAAATGCTTTATTTACCAACACACAAAATTTTATTCAATTTGGTAAATGGAGGATTTACGTGGTAAATGATGGATTTGCTAGTCAAACAAATATTCTGATGTTATAAACAACAAATTAATTTCTTGTAAATTGTCAGTGAAATACCGAATTTGAGATTATATGGTAAATGAAGAATTTACCAAATAAATGCAACATTTGCCATATTCACACTTTCTTCACACTCTCTCTCTCTCTCATCACTATCGACGAACTCTCATCCTCTCTATCTCATCATCACTTTTGTAAGGGTAGAATTAATACACCATATATTAAATTTTTAAATTATGCTATAAATTTTTATTCATCTACTATTTACTAAACAACTAAAACTATCATGCTATTTACTACTTTAAGTTTGGAAAATTTGCTATTTATTGTAAATTTTTTTATGTGTTTCCTATCTCCGTCACTTTTAGTGCAGGTCCCACGAGACCTTATTTTTGTGAGAGAATATTTCCATCTCTCATAAATGATTTGAGTTTTTGGTGAATTTTTATGAAATAATATATTTTCTCTTAAATTTGTAGGTTATGTTTGATAGGAGAGATGGATATTGGATAGTATGAATGATAAAAAGAGTTGAAGGGAAGAAATATGCTAAGGATGTAGAGGATTATAGTAATCATTTATACTGTTTGGTAGAAGGAATGGAGAGTTGAGAATATTAATAATATTTATTTGTCTAATTAGTAAATTGTCTATTTTATTATTTGTTAATAATTCATTTGAAGGAAAAAAAAAGTTTTTTTTTTAAATTTAAATTTTAATGGATTAGCTAAATCATTATATGAATGAAAGGATCTAAACTTATAGGTTGCGTTTGGAATTGGTTTTAAAATGATTTTGTTTTTTGTATGAAAATGGAAATGAAAATGTTTTTATTTTCATTTTGAAATTATTTCTGAAAATGCATTTGGTAGTTTTATTCAGAGATTGATTTCAGTTTAAAAAAAAACTGAAACTGCGTTTGGTGACGTTTTTAAATTTAACGCTAGCAACATCGTACATGTGTTTTTCAATTGCACGTCGTTTCTAACCAGACGCCATCTCATTTTTAAGATAGCATGTCGTTTGATCACTCCACATAAATGACATGTCGTTTTTATATAACCACCGTCGTTTCTCAACCGTCAGATTTTCCAAGGCAAAAAAAAAAAAAAAATTTTTGTTTTTGTGGCCTGAACATTTGTTGTAATTTAATAACTATCAAATTGTTAAAATTATTAGATAAAATTACAAAGCAAAAGCAAAAAAAGTCCTTCATCTTTCCCTCACCCTTTCTCTTCGTCTCCTTCATTTTCTATTAAACCAGATCTAGTTTGCAAGGTAGGTGGGTAGGTGACAATGTCAGACGGGCAAGCGAGGAATTGTGATGGAAGGGACTACGAAGGAGGTGGCGAGCGACGACGAGAAGTTGCCAATCTTGAGGGCGGCAACCAGACTTGAGGGGGCCTGGGTTGGTTTATGCCGTTGGTCGCGTGAAGCCATGGCGAAGTCCGACGAGAAGAGGAAGATGATTCCGGCAAGGTCTGACGAGATCCGACTAGGCTCGACAAGATCCGGTGACTTCGTAGAGCTCCGGCGACGACCTGGGTAGGGAGGGGGTGTTTGGCAACCATGGCGGAGATGGGCAGAAAAAAAATGAACGTGGGAGACTGGTGGGCTGAAGACAGAAAACGAAAACGGAGGAGAAAATGAAAATGACTTTTTTGCGTTTTTAGATTCTCAGAAAACGACAAAAACGTTTTTGTTTTTGTTTTTTCAAACATTTTGCACCAAACGTGTTTTTCACCCGCGTTTTCAATTTTTAGCCTCGAAAAATGTAAAAAAATGAAAACGAAAACAGAAACAAACAGGGCCATAGACGCGAAGAGGGACGGGAAACTCTCCCCCTTCATGTCTCGTATCGCTCATTTTCTCCTTCTAACTAAACCCCTCTCCCTCATATCGAACATATTAGAGTCAGAATGGCGAGTCTTGCATATGGCCTACTAATTTTTTGACAACTGGATTCACGCCTCTCCCTTTTACCAAACATATGACATATTAGTTGCTATAAGTGTTAGTTTCCACCTGGACGTGCGGCTCCATGGACAATTAACGACCAAACCGCACGAGGCTGGACAAAAGGATCCTTTTGGCTGGTGACTTAAAAGGAAGAAAGTACAAATTGCACCATTCTTAGGGCGTCGGAATTGTTTGATGTCACGATTTTGTTTTTATCTCAGGAGGAAATTGTTTGATGTTACGATTGTTCGTGATATCGCCAACCGCAGTTATTTGAAGTACAATCGAAGGTAATTATCACTTTTTCTAATAGATTTTTTTATTAATAGTATTATTTTTTAATCGTTGAATTTAATCAAAATTTTATTATGTTAAAAATATGTAAAATAAATAATTTTTAATATAAATTTAGTGATTAAAAAATAAAAATTTACTCATAGAGTTCGTTTGGTACTTAGATTTATTTTCTAATTTGAATTATGATTCGTGATTCGTGGTTCGCTACAATATTTTTTTCTCATAAAAAATACACATAAATTAAAAATAATTCTAATTATATAATTTAAATCTATGAATCAAACGTCACAATAATTAGTTTATTTTTTCGCGAGTAACTCTTAAAAAAAAAAAAAAAAGAAGGAAAATAGTCGGAGTGCGAAACTCGCAATGTCGGCTCCGTGCCCTCTCTTTGCGGAGAGATGCTATATAATAAGAGGAAACATTGTCGTCCCAAAGTTAAATGCAATAGAAGACATTAGAAAATAATTCTCCAGCCTTTAAAAAAAAATACATACAATTCTCCAGAAAAAAACGAAGACAGTAGAAGGCGAAGAGGCAAGAGGGAAGGATTCTTAGCGCGGTTCCGTTCTAGGGTTTTGGAACACAGAAACTAGAAGGAGAAGAAGAAGAAACAGACGGAGAGAGAGAGAGAGAGAGAGAGAGAGAGAGAGAGAATCGGACTTTACTGTGAGTTTCCCACCAAGCTACTGAATCCCAATTTCTCCATTTTGATTCCTCAATCCGGTTCTTCACTAGCATTACTTTCACTTCCTTCGTTTTTCGTTTTCAGTAATTGTTGTTTCATTTTGTTTTTGCGAGGCTCTGTTTGTTTTGCTGGAAATTATCTTTCCAAAATTTGAGATTTTTTTTTTGGGTTTCGGTTTGCACTGATTTGTTTGTTCGTGTGGTCGTTTTATCGGGTACTTTCAGGTTGCGTTTTTTGAGATTTTGGTTCTTAAATCAGACGGTGAAATGTTTCGAATTGAGTTTCTTAATTAGTATATTGACTGTTTGTGTGCTTGGAAAACTAGGAATTTAGTGGAATTACTAGGAAAGAATGTCATTTTATAATGAAAATCTTGGGTTATTAATTTTCATAATCAGCTTATGGGAGAAATTCCCTTCATTTAGAGAGAATTTTGATATGCGAGTGATTTGTTTGTTTTATTTTGTTTGTTTTTTTTTTTTTAGGCCTAGCTATTTTGTGTATTTTATTATTAGAACCAAATGGCGTTTAAAATTAGGTTTGGAACGGTTTTATTTTGTTGGAAACTGGACTATCAGAAATTTATGTTATTCACATTTTACTTCTGGTGTAGAATTCATCTCTATTTAGTATTTACCTATTAGTTTTACAATTCTTATGTGAAATAATAGTCAAACAATCACGGATGCTTATGTTATTATTTTCTAATTATGTTTATTTTCAGTTGGTTTTGGAGGTTGTTTAATTACTCTACTGGGAAATTAGCCTGCTATATATAAGAGCATGGTAGAAGTTGAACCTGAAAAAGTTGAAGATGCCGAATTTGAATGGGGAAAGAAGAAAGGAATTGGTGGGAAGAAGAAAAGAGTTCAGTTTTATGAATCTTTTACCTACGATGGTGTGGAGTACGTTCTTTTTGATTCTGTCTATCTTTATAAAGAAGGTGAACCTGAGCCTTATATTGGTAAACTCTTAAAAATATGGGAGCATCCCGATAAGATGAGGAAAGTGAAGGTTCTATGGTTTTTCCGCCCTTGTGAGATTTTAAATTTTCTCGGAGATGAAGAACCATCTGACAATGAGTTATTTTTGGCTTCCGGTGAAGGTGTGGGCCTTTGCAACGTCAATCCTCTGGTAAGCGAGTATATTAATATGTTGATATTAACTGGGAACATGTTGAAAGGATCTATGGGAGTGGCATCCAAAAGTATAGTCGTAATATTGTTTGTCAATGTTTGGCACATGTGTGTATTTCATAATGTAATGCAATGCAACGACCTCATTTACTTTTACAATTCTACTATTAGATTATGAGCAAAACTTTCATATATTGAATCAGGAAGCTATTGCTGGGAAATGTAATGTTGTCTGCATTTCAAAAGACAACAGGAATCGTCAACCTACAGATAAAGAACTTCAAACGGCAGACTATGTATTTCGCCGGACATTTGATGTTGGGAACAGGAAAATCTTGGACGAAATAGAAGAGACAATTGCTGGGACTGATGGTATATGGACTTGTTAACCAGGTTGTTTGATCTTTGATTTGCAGCTGATGTTTTCTAGCGCTAAAATTCATTGCTTCTCTAATTGTTGCAGTTAAATCTCTACTCAACAGAGAGGATTTTGAAAAAAGTGCTGGTACTCTGAAGGTTGATTCAGGAGGGAAAGAAGTTGGTGGAACTGCTGCACAAACTGATGATACAGTGGTTTCATCTGAGACAAACTCATCCAAAAAATGTCCAGTTGTAGACACAAATGGACACTGCAGTGTTACTTTACCAAATGAAGCAGTTGAAACGAACGTTTTGTTTACTAAACACGAATCTTCGACTGCAGAAAAGACTGCTTCGGGTGTAAGTGTTGAATCAGATGATGTAGCAAAAACTAATCAGACAAAAGAAAATGTGAGAGATCACAAAGCCTTATCGGGGTCTAAAGTGGAACCTAAGCACAGTGAGGCCAAAGTTGGTAAAGTTCTTGCCGGGCAGGTTGAGAGTGAAAGAAAAGTTGAATGTGCTAAGGATTCCGTTGAATTGGATGATAGACCATCTAAGAAGGCAAAGCTTAGTTCTGAATATGTTGAGAAGAGCAAAAATAGCATGCAGCAGTCAAGATTTAAATATGATGCCAATGATGGGGAGACTTTAGCATTAACTGCTTCTGCTCTTAAACCCTCTAAGGATTCTACAGAGAAAGGCCCTTCCAAAAAGCTGAAGCCTGAGGAAAAAACAACAATGCTTAGTTCTGAGTATGTCGAGAAGAGCAAAAATAACACGCAGGATGGGGAGACTTTAGCATTAACTGCTTCTTCTCTTAAACCATCTAAGGATTTTATAGAGAAAGGACTTTCCAAAAAGCTGAAGCCTGAGGAAAAAACAACAATGCTTAGTCCTGAGTATGTCGAGAAGAGCAAAAATAGCATGCAGCAGCCAAGATTTAAATCTGCTGCCAATGATGGGGAGACTTCATTAACTGTTTCTGCTCTTAAACCCTCTAAGGATTCTACGGAGAAAGGCCCTTCCAAAAAGCTGAAGCCTGAGGAAAAAACAACAATGCTTTCTAATGGAAAATTGATTAAAGAACCTTCCCAAAAGTCTCATAATGAGGATCATAAAACTGACGGACAGAAGTTAGAAGTAACTCCGAGTCCACATGCTCTAAGTTCTAAATTGAACTATTTTGAAGAATAGTTATTTTAGGACAATTATTTTAATTTTTATATGGGGTGGTTATTTTCATGGATTTCCATTATAGTACACTTAAGGTTTTAAGGACTTACACTTTCCCCTTTTCTATATTTTGACAGGAAAGAAGGAAATGGTTTCCGGGACTTGTAAGTTCTTTTCAATTACATTTTGTTGCATTCTCTTAATTTTTATTCCAATTGTGCTAAGAAGCATTGAAGACCTTGAAAGGATCTTGAAATATTTGACTTGCAAGTTGCAATAAGTATAAATATAAAATTGAGGATATATGTGCCAAAGTTGATTTATAAGTTGGAGGCTATGGCTGTCATACCTCACCAGTACTCGTGCCTCTCAATAAATGCTAGGTTGGGCCACCGATCAAATGGACTTGCCTAGTTACCATTTTTTTACTGATTTGTACCCTTCCTTTATCTACAACCGTTAGTTTTTCTTATAAAAAAAGGTCAAGATTTGAAGAGGTATTAATGCCCAAAGGTTTAAAGTGAGGGATGGCAGCCATGCCTTAAGTTGGATTGATCTGAATGGAAGATTGAATGGATGGAATTTAGTGGGAAAGAATATAATTGATTTGTGATTTTCTATTTCTCTATTCAATGTCAGCCTTGGGAAGATAGTATGCGAACTGCATATGAGCAAAGCAGACTTGTTTTGCTTCAGAATTTGGATCCATCTTATACTTCAGCAGAAGTGGAGGTAATGTCAGCAAATTAGCCTTGGATTTTTTTTGGTGCTTTGTGGAGCATTTTCTTGTGGGTTGTCTGTTAGGTACCTGATTCTCACAGCTCAATATTCACACAGAAGAAAAAGAATAGAAGGCAATCAGAGTAGTTTTATTGATCATCACCAACACTAGCTCATAGAATTTTACAACCAAACTAAGAAAAACGTAAAGAAAACTTAGGATAGACTGGAGTATTCGAGGACTCCGGAGAACTCCTAACTTTGATGGTATTCGAGAGACCACCAGCTCTCCCTAATCTCAGTCTCCCAAAACTCTCAAAATCACAACATACCTCTAGTGAGCTACTAAGCCCTTTATTTATACTAATTCCTACTAACTCTACCAGCCCACTAACCAAACAGGTTCCCAAGTTAACGGATCCTAACATTACTCCCGCCTCAAAGAATCACCTTGTCCTCAAGGTGAAAACCAGAAAATAAAACTGCAATAGTACATCAACATGAGAAAGAACAAAGATCTTTGTGAGCTCTATGAAACAAACAGAACTTGCTTCAAATCTTCTTGATAACTTCCATGTTTTGCCAAGTTCACACTTCTCTTTGGAACCTGAATTGTGAACCACAGTGAAATCAACTAATCCAAGAAGTTCATCCAAAAACTTATCCACATAAGAATGCAAGAGCTTGATGGTTATCCCAATCAAATCATGTATACTAGTCACCCTCCTCTCACCAGCTTTATCTTGCTGCAGTTTATACTCCACCGCATCCAAGAATTTTGTCTCACTGCTCTGCAAAACACCAACAATGGAGGGAAGATGCAAGTGTACTTTCTCCATTCCTTTGTCAACATCCCCACAATTGCTAAAAACTGAACCAATAAGACCCTTCAAAATACTAGAATGGCCTCCACCTTCTTTAACTTCTTTCACTGGTGCATCAAACACATTCTCTATGGCAATATCCTTAGAAAAGTTTGACATCATTGAGATCTTGTTCCACATACCTTGAAGCCCCTCATTCTTGGCATTGGTTTGAAAGTCATCTTCATTTGCAACGCCTTGGTCCACCTTCTCGATGAGATTCTTTGAAGGAAACTCTCTTTGAGCATCAATTTGCTGATCTGAAGCAGCCCACTTGAAATTCCTATTTCATGCTCTTTATTGACTTTCAACTTGGTAGTGATATCTCTCTCAAAAACTGCATTTGATATCTTTTTCCAAGGTGCAGCAAGTACCTCGATTTGTCGTCCGGAATCAGCCTTGGTATCTGCTCGCTCTTTCGCCACGAAACTCCCATAGACGGTCTCTTCTTGCGATGATTGGAAACGCTGTAGTAAATGAGTTTTCAATTCATCCCAATTGCGGAACAGCCGACTGCCATCCTACCATTGATTCCAAACCAAAGCATCACCCTCCATGACCTCTTCTGTAGCCCATATTTTCTCTCCTTCTGTCAACCTATACAATAGAAAATAACGTTCAGCTCGAAAGACCCACTCGTCAGCATTTTCTCCGGTGAACAACGACATCTCCACTCGTTGAAAACGCCGATCCGATCGGTTTTCCCACAGTGTGTCACGCCACCTTCCCCTTCTCCTGTTCAAAACCCTAGGATCTCCTAACCAACAAGATGGCGAAACTCTATTCACCTTGCCCATATCAGATCGAAAAACCCAAGGATCAGCCCCAAAATCACTTCGTGAATTTTCACATTTTGAGGACCCGGCCCAAATTTCGCTGAAATTTCGAGACCCAGCTCCAATGGCGTCAAACTTAACCCCAATCTTGCTCGAAGTGCAACGTCCAGCCGCCACAGCGCCGAAATTGGCCCTGCACATGCCGTAATTGGAAGATCTGGTCTTTCCTTCGCCGGAATCCACATGAATATCGCCGAAATCAGGTGACCCAGTCCTAACCCGGCCGGAATCTTCCCCAACCATGACAGAATCACGAGACCCAATCCAATTCGCTACATAATCTTCCCCAAACACGCCTGAATTCCAAGACATTACCATAGACTCGTCGGAATCAGCCAAAACGGCATCTGAATGAGTTAAAACGGCATTGGAACCGCGACACCCCTTCCAAATCTGGCTGGAATTAGACTCGGACGTACCGAAATCGCGAAGCGCAGCCGTGGCGATGCTCAATTCTGTCGTGAATCTGCTGCCATTCACTTTAGATCTAGATGATCTAGCTCCAGATCGCCAAGATTTTTCCCGATCTTTGACCTCGTGCGATTCTGGATTTGGTTGCGCCCCATCTAGCGTTGTTCGTCAACGTTGACGCTCCAACTCCATCATGGTTCCGCAGTTCGAAACCATTGCTTCGTAATTCCAATCAGATCGCGGAACCCGATGTTCAGTGCTCAGATCTGATCGCGACTCCAACCAGATCGCAACGCGTTTGTTGTCGTTCGCCGGCGTTGTTCTTCTGGTTGCGACCACGTATCCTTTGTCAGCGTTATCCCACTTTCAGCTACCCAAGCTTTGCGGTCCTCCTCCTCTAACAATCGAATGATCCGCTTCACACTTTAAAGCGTCGATTCCATTTTCTCTTTCATTGATTCTATTTACTTTTTTTTTTTTTTTTTTTTCCGAGAATCGATTGCTTTGATACCAAATTGTTAGGCACTTGATTCTCACAGCTCAATATTCACATAGAAGAAAAAGAATAAAAGGCAATCAAAGTAGTTTTATTGATCATCACCAACATTAGCTCATAGAATTTTACAACCAAACTAAGAAAAACGTAAAGAAAGCTTAGGATAGACTGGAGTATTCGAGGACTCCGGAGAACTCCTAACTTTGATTGTATTTGAGAGACTGCCAGCTCTCCCTAATCTCAGTCTCCCAAAACTCTCAAAATCACAACATATCTCTAGTGAGCTACTAAGCCCTTTATTTATACTAATTCCTACTAACTCTACCAGCCCACTAACTAAATAGGTTCCCAAGTTAACGGATCCTAACATTATCATTTTTGTTTTTTATGTTGCCAGTTGCTACCTTACTATTGAAGTACTGAGAAATAACCCCTCACGTGCAAAATTATAGAAGATTCCCTTTAAGATCAAACAATTCCATCGAATTGAGTATGATTGTATGTGTGATAGCATCTACTATACCAGGAATATCAATGAACCCAATTATTGAAATTGCTCAGGATACCCTTTTTAGCTTCTAGAACCTATTTCTTAGTTCAAGATCCCTCTTACTAACTGGATCAAAGAATTAGTAGATCTGTTCCACCCAAAAGGGGAATGGGCTAGGGTTATGAACTTATAATCGATAATCTGATGATCGAGTCGATTCCATGATTATAAGTTCATTCCATACCATACCAGACCGGAATAGGGTTATATACATTCTAATTATGAGAAGGGGTCATTCGAGCGTATCTAAATAGATTGTTCTCTCCCTCTGTCTATTCCCTTTATGGCTTGTTTATTTATTTATTTTCTGTTTTTGCCTAAATTTTTATTATTAGTTTTAGGTTTTTGTATGCTATTCTTTTTCACGTTTTCATCGTTTCATGCATTACGTTTCAGGATATTGTATGGCATGGTTTCGGGGAAAGATGCACAGTGAAGATGATTCAACGGATTGTGTTTTCTAGCCCTCATTCTGGTATGAAGAGATTCGAATCGCTTGAATAATCAGAAAGAAAATTTTCTCTTTCATTTGTCAGGTTTTGGAAAACTTTTTGTGATTATGCCTTGAGTACTCCCAGAACTGACATATGAAGATTTTAGTTTGCTAATGTATATCACAACAGCAATGTTGTTGCTTGCATCCTGTGTTTCTCATAGTAATAATATCGTGTTTGTCTTGTTGCAGGTCAAGCTTTTGTTATTTTCAGTAAAAGGGAGGTAGCAGAGATGGTTGTTAGAAAATTAGACGAGAGCTGTTTGCTATTATCAGATGGGAGGTAGGCATGCAGACGATTTATGATGTCAAACAAGTTGGTCTAATATATATAGCATGAGATTCTTAGAGGATATGCTTACATTATCTCGGCGTCCCCCCTGATAGTTCCTAATTAATGAGGTGGTTTAAACATGAAACCTCAAATTTTCCACGAGGACAAGTCTCATGATTCAGCTATGAAATTAAACCTCACCTCTTCATTTGTTTCGTGGAGAAAGCATCCTGTTGGGCTTGGAGAATGCCTTTTACTATGTTTCCTCCCTCTTTTCCTTTCTACTGTATAATTAGATCAAATAAATTTATTTTTCATATTTTAAACTTGTTTACAGCATTCAGAGTGTTTTGAGTGACGATTGTATATGTTTTCTGCTAAATGAGGTGCAGGCCTCTTGTAGGCAGTTTAGGAACTCCTTGCTTCCCGGAAAAGAAGCCAAAATTTTTTGGCCATTTTGGCATTGATAAGCGCCGATACCAAATGCAGCGGGAGGAGGTAGAGTTTCTGATCTCATACTCCCCCTCTCTCTTGCGTGCTCACGCGCACACACACTCATTCACACGTGTATTCACCTAACTCAATACAAATGCATGCCCTTCTATTGTTTTATTTCCTTTTCTTTTGATACATGTGCTCTTGTTTGTATACTATGGACCAGAAAGATGCTGTATCTACTTCGCATTGTTCTCAGCCCAATACACTTGAATTTGAAATGGCACTGGAATGGTGCTTATTACAAGAAAAATCAGAGCTTTCGTGGAAGAAGTTGTACCAGGTCTTAGATTTGCCCTATACTACTACTACTACTATTATTAATAGTATGATGATGATGATGATGGCATTATGCCGAGACACCATTTCTAATCCCAACTTTTGTACCAACTAGTAAATTGCTATTCTTTTATTGGTAAGTGCAATCTCTTATTATTCATAGACCGATAGACGTGACAATCTTATAAATAACTATCAATAAAAGAATGACAACTCCTGAATTAGTAAAAAAGTTGGGATGAGAGTTTGGTGTCCCTATTATTATTATGATTATTAACATGGGAGTGTTATTTCTGCTATAATATAATTATTCATCATCATCATCATCATGGGATTGTTATTTTACTATAGTTATTTTGGATTTGTTATGTATTTGTCCGAGTTCGTTCTATTTGCTGAACCAGATCTTTTTCTTATAATTAGAAACAGGGACAGGAGTTAAAACAACTAAAGGTAAAACTCAAGGCCAGATGGCGCTAATGTTGTAAACTTGTTCTTCTTGGTAAGTTTTAAACCCAAAGCAAAGAAAGAAAGAAAAACATTTTCACTTTTAAACATCTCATGACTTCATGAAATAGCTGCCTTGTGAATTCTAATGCTGCATTATCTTCTATTAGGTTTCCCGTTTTGCTATTGGATTGGAAATCATGAGAAGGCATCCCTCTCCTAGAGCTTTTTTGTCCAGAAGTCGGTCAAATTTTGAGGATTCCCACCGTCTCATCAGATATCAAAATCCATTATGGGTAATGATCTGAATCTCGTACCCTTTTGAGCAAGATCTCTCTTAGATCTATGGAAAAATATCTCATTGCTCATTTCGTCTGCTTGAACAATTAAAATATGATAGTAGATACACATATGGGAGTTTGGTTAAAAACTTCTACTAGACGCATTTTTCACCTTATTTGCTTTTGGTGTCACCATCCATACATTGGCATAACGTCCCGTGACATGTCTAATTTCTTTTAATATTTACGGGAGGCCATTTGGTAGTGTTGGGCTGACATTGCTCAAGTTGAAATCGTAAGGGTTTTTTTGTAGTGATCTTAAAGTTTGAGGGTCTTATAGAATAAAGAGTAAAGTTAAAACATTGCAGGAAACTAAGAAGCACATAGATGAGAGGATACGCCGGAAGACATAGCCAGGGAGTGCAATTGGAGTAATACTAGAGGTTAGGCCATGCAATATAAATAGAGGGATTATGGGATATAAGTGGAGGGTCCTAGGACAGAGCTTATAGACTATAAAGTGAAGAGCCATATGGATTTGGAAATTCCAATTGTGCCATCTACTTGGCGTAGAGGTTATGGAATACTAACTCGTCTCATCAACATGGTTATACATTTATAACCTTATTCCTTGGATATCCACTACATAAAGAATATGTTAGGTAAAACTTTGTGAGGAGATAACCTTGTGAGACCACTGAGTCCGCTTGGTCTAGTGGCACCGGGAGGTTCAGGTGGGATGGGGTTTGGGGGAGGTTGCGGGTTCGATCCGTTGTTGTATTAAAAAAAAAACCCTTAAGACAAAAGACAAGTTTGACCTTATCAGAAAAACACAACGGAATATATTAGTTGAAACTTGGCAAGCAGATAACCTTCTGAGATAAAGTACAATTTTGTCCTTATCGGAAAACACAATGGAACAAAACCTTGGAAGGGGCCAAAGAGTACATAACTTTTGTAGTTAACTCCTCTTATTGGACGAATTGCAATCTCGTCCACAACTTAAGTGAAATGTGCTCGAATCTATCACCTCTAATTTGACCTTTTAGTTATGCGATACATGTTGCACCTCCTCGCATAATCTCTCATATATTGGTTTCGTATTGAAGAGCATCGAGAATTACTCAAAACCAAAATTACGAAGAAGGGCTTTCTATGTTGACATTCGACAATAACTTGACAATATTTCTCTAAAATATTGGTGGAACATCCCAATATTTTGGAAAATATGTAAGGCCGAAACATCGTTGATACTATCGAGGAATTGATGTTCTTTCGATCTTCCAAAAACAGAATCCCTTGTTTATTCATATCGATACTCATTGATACGTAATAGTCTTGATGAAACATCAATGAAACCAAGGGTACTTATATTTCATGAGTTAATTTAGTTCTAGCAATGGTTTGCTTCGTACAGGAGTAAGATATTAAAAAAATTGCATTTCACATCAGAATAGTACATACACCAGTTCAGACGCGAAAACCCCTAATGCATTTAGCGACTCAACCCTCCACTACAAATCAATACCACCAATAAGTTCGATTAAAGCGTTCAAGGGGATAATACGTGTATTGAGTTCCAATTACAGGAAACTTAAGTCACACAACTATTTAAGCACACAAATGACTCTTTCAAACACACTACTATACTAGTTGGATAACTCTGATCAATTGAGATTGAGAGACCAAAAGCACACTTTATGGGGGATAAATAAAATTCAATATTTTTAGAGCAACTAATCCTAATTTTTAGTTACTTGAGTTACACGACTTAGTTAAAAGAAATTGATACCCAAATTGTCAAACATTTGCAATTAAAGGAATATTTCTAATTTTCGCCACTTTTCGGATGGTTTTATGCAAGTTGACCTTCATATGTGGTTATTTTGCATGGATAAAACTTAAATACTCCACTTCTTGTGTAATGGGGACAAAATCCATAAAAAAGAAAAGAAAAAAGAAATGTTTTTTCGCCACTTTTTGGATGGTTTTATGCTAGTTGACCTTCATATGTGGTTATTTTGCATGGATAAAACTTAAATACCCCACTTCTTGTCTAATGGGGACAAAATCCATAAAAAAGAAAAGAAAAAAGAAATGTATTTTCGCCACTTTTTGGATGGTTTTATGCTAGTTGACCTTCATATGTGGTTATTTTGCATGGATAAAACTTAAATACCCCACTTCTTGTGTAATGGGGACAAAATCCATAAAAAAAGAAAAGAAAAAAGAAAGGTACAAACCCAAAGGGAAGTGGAGAGAAGCAAACCTTGTGCAAATCCTAAGAGAGAGGAGCTGCTGCCTAGCTCTCCCATTGCGAGATCACTGCGAGGCCATTGTCACTATGAAGATTCGTCACCATCGTGTCGTCGCCCTGATCAACTTTGCGCGCCCATGACATATTTTTTCCCTCGTGCTCTTTTCTCTTCTATCTATTAAGGGAGTGTAGTAAATAACAGATTTAAGAAACTAAATTAAGTAAATAGTTACACCAAGCCTACAACTCCATATTGATATGTTTAGTCCGACTCAAACTTACAGCTCTAGTTATCATACTGTCTGGCCGTAGGTTTAAATTGCTTGTCCCGTCATGCATTATGGGCGGTTTCGCTTAGGGCTTTTCTTAAACTGTCAATTTACAAAATCAAATTGTCCCTGCCAAGTATTACTTATTTTCCTATTATATATGTGTTTGATCTATTCTGATAAAAAAATAGTTATGAAGAGGAGGTTAATAATAGAAAAATTACTTATAAAAGGATAGTTTTGCACTTTTCCTAAAAAATAACCATAAAATTACCTACAATAATACATGTTTTTCTAAATATTTTCCAAGTCTTTTCCAACAAGTCCCAATGTTTTTCTATTTTCTTTTTTCCTTTAAATTTATAATTTAAATAATATTATTAATTATTGAACCGCGGCACACAATTCTTTTGCGAATGCTCTCTCAAATGTTTCCATTCCTGCCTCTGTAAGCAAAGAGGTTTCAAGATACCGGGCGACCAAGTGAAAGTGAACGACCCCGAGCAAATCTTCTAGAGAGTAAATTAATTAGAATGATACATAAAAAGATATTGTAAAAATGGGTTAAGGATACCATCAAGATCTTTTTTAAGAATACTCGTTTTTAACGTGCGTGATTCATTTAAAATGACAGTTATATAAATTATTCACAAAAAAGAGAAATAGGAAAAAATGACATATAAGAAATGAAGACAAAAAGGGGAAAATGATTTGAAACAAAAGGAAACAAAGAGACTTTAACTTATTTTGTTGTATTTTAAATTAGTTATATTTTGTTTTGTCGAATTTATTTTTTATTTAATTTGGTTTGAGCTTATTTTATTTGTGTATTTTTTATTAATTTGATTCTTTGTTCAAATTATTTATACTATTTTTATCTGAGTAGAATTTGAAATTTGGTGCAAAATGGTGTGAAAACGGACAAAATTTGAAGCAAAAAACTTAAAAAAAAAGGATTTCAACTTATTATGTTGTATTTTCAATCAGTTTTATTTTGTTTTGTTTAATTTATTTTTTATTTAATTTGGTGTGATCTTATTTTATTTTAGTGTATTTTTTATTAATTTGATTTTTTATTCAAATTATTTATAACATTTTTATCTTGGTAGTTTTGGAAATCTGGTGCAAAACAGTGTTAAAACGGACAAATCGAATCACAAATCAATTCGGAGTAATAATAAATATAAATAATAATAATTAAATAAAATTGGGAATAATTTCAACCGTCGGATGGAAATCACGGACAACATATAGATGCGTTCGTGAATAGCACCCTAGGCAGAGGCGTGTCTGCTACAGGCTTGGCAGATCTGTGTGTTGGGTGGGCTTCGCCACTTTCTCGTGCCAACCAGTCACCACGTGACACGTGGCTTATCTGTAAACAATTATCCTTTTTTGCGTGAGATTTGCCACAATGCACCCCTTTCGTATTTGTTTATACAATATAATAGTCACACCAAACATTATATTATTGTATTATTATGCAATACGGTGTTCTAATACGGTTAGTACTGGAACTTTGGGTTGGTGGGCCTCTTCGAAGCCCGAATTTTTCGAGCTTGGCGGGCAGGGACCCATGGCCACCCGTTCAAGCACAAATCAGGCTCGGCCTCGGGTTGCCCGAGAAGCAATCACATGCCGGAAGCCCACCGCCGAATTGGTGCTCCTGACCATCGACTGCCAATTTTTTTTTTAATTTTTTTTCCCTTCGGCCCAAATGCTCGACTTGCCCGAAGCTCGATCAACGGTTAGTTTTTTCAAATTTGGCGCCCGACCCACCGCCCTAAAGTCCGACCACCAACGGCTCTTTTTTTGACCGTTGCCCGATTTTCGGCCTGAACCCGACCCGCCAATTCTAAAAATAGCCGTTGGATCCGAATTTGGGGAAAAAAATCAATTTTTTAACAAAGAGATGAAAACCCGCATTCATTCATGAATGTTTTCGGGTTGAAGAAGAAGACGACTCAAACAGAAGCTGAGAGTGGATCTTCATCAATAGGTGGTGGCGGTGGCGGTGGCTTCAACGAGCTTATGGCGTACCTCAGTAAGAGCTTAGTAGTTGACGGTAGTGAAAAATTGTTTGATTTAGTTCAATGGTGGAGGGCACGAGCATTAACTTGGCCAGTCCTAACTCGATTAGTAATGGATATTTTTTCGATCCCAGTCTCCACTGTTTCATTCGAATAAGCCTTCCAGTACGACCGAACGAATACTTGAGAAACATCGAAACGCATCGCAAAGGGACATTGTTGAAGCTTTGGTGTGCATTAAGGATTATGATCGTGCTGATCAACGTTTACAAGACACAATTTTGCCGGCAAGCCATGAATAGATAGATGAATTTAATAGATTAACATTTCGCTTTGAAGACGATCCTTCAGCTTCAAATTAAATTGTAATTTCTAAATATTTATTTGCTTTGGACATTGTAATTGTAATATTTAGACTTTGTAAGTTTGTAAAATTTGTAATTCGTCACAAAATGATTTACACTCATTTTTTCTTATTAAGTTTTTATCTCAATTGAGTTTTTCTTGGTAAGATTTTTAACGAGGCAATAATAAATTACAAATTTAAAAATTAATTTTTTAAATTGTGTTAATAGTATGTGTTGATTTTAATTTTTTTTTATAATTTTAACACAAAATAACTTAATAATTATTTATATACAAATAAAATTAATAAATAATAGTATATTATATATAATATATATACAATATTATAAAAATTAAAAAATATAATAAAAAATATATTTTTTTCAGGTACATTTGGGCGGGCTCAGGCAGCTAAGACCAGGCCCGCGGCCTGTTCGAGGGTCTTCTCGGGCTCGGGGCGAACGGCCCAAATTTTTCAGGCAAGCGGGTTTGGGTGTCGGGTACAAATTCAATTTTTTCAGACAGTCACAGACGGCCCGTATAAAGTTTCAACACTAAATACGGTTAAACAAACATACTCATAGGATACTTTCACTATAAGGTAACCAAAATGATTTTTCCTTTGTGTTTGGGTTGGCTTAGAACTGACGTACAAAACCGAGACATAAGTCTACAATGTGGTTATTGATGACTATTCTAATTTGTGACGTACCCATAAAACTTGATAGTTTTATTTTATTATTATTATTTTTTGCGTATATTAGAAAACATAACAATGTTGAGTGATTTGTTGATTTTCCTTATGACGAACTTGTGCATCTAAGAAGTGGTGTAGTCTAAAAAGTGGGGTTTTTTTTTTTTTTTTTTTTTTTTTTTTTTTTTTTTTGGAGGGGGAACAATAAGAAGTGGTCTAGTTGTAACTGTAGAGGTCATCTCGTTTTTTCTCCTTGTTGCGCAATTAATAATGTTTAATTAAATGATACCAAACGTAGCCAAAGTTTTCAGCTTTTTATTCATTAACGCACGTGTTACATTATTCAATATCAACATGAATGTCCTCTCCCCCCCATGCTCATGTGATTTTGCCCTCTCTTCATGTGATGGCTTTTCAGTGCTAACTTTCATAATCTTTGGCAGGACAGAAAGCATGTAAAATGCACTCGGGTCCCTCATGAGGCGTGTTTTTCGGTTGAGGCATATGTTTCCTCTCGAGTCATGTTTTGGTGCAACAACTTAATACAAAATCCATGCTTCATAGTGGGTTAATGGTAAGTTATTTTTTGTATCATGTTATTGTGATGTTGTAATTTTTACCGGTCAACAAATGGTTGGAATCTTTTATGGTTGTAAATCAGAACGAAGAAAAGGTTTCCTGGCAAAAGGTTCCTCCTCTTTTTTCCCTTCTACAGTCTCGCTTCATGCTATTTTTTAATATTCTTCAAGATGACTAATTCGTATAGTTTCCTGAACTTCTAGAAATTATTTGTCAATTTTAAAGTCGAGAATTAAAACTGTCAAAAATTAAAAATTTAATGATTAATATATCAAAATTAAAATTTAGAGATCAAAATGTCACTATGTTTAAAATTTAAAAATTGAAAGTGTCAATTACAAGAAGTCTTTAGGCACGGCCATACATAACAAAGAAATCACAATCAGAAAGGGTAAATAATTAGCTAGAGCAGTAGGTGCTGTAGCGAAATTGATTGTAAAAAAGGAGAAATTAACCACATTAAAATTTCTTTTTGGGGAGGTCTGTTTGATACCAAAAACTGTTCAGCAATAGTTGGAGAAGTGGATAATGTTGGGGTGAATTAGAAAAGTTTGAGTAGAGTCGGATTTAAATGTTGACTAGGTAAGCTTCATGTAGTAAGAGTAGTTATGAATCCTGTAGATCATCCCCATGGAGTTGGTGAAGTGATGTACTTCCATGATCTATCCCTCGACAGTGCATCGTAACAACAAATATTTATGGGACATCAAATGTTATGAAGGAAAATATGGTTGATCTTTAGAAAAAGAAAATAAATGGTTGATCCTTGATATCGACTGCAAAGACAAAGCCAAGCCAAGTGGCCCAAGACATGACGAGGTTGAAACGGACACTTTTTGATTAGAAACATGAACAACAAAGGCTTCAAAGGCTAGAAATGAAAAAAGGGGGAACAAAAAACGGGCAAAAAGGACGGCGCTTGCTAACGTGATTCTTTGAAAGGTAATCTGGTGCAAACAAAAAATGTCAACATTTTTGCTAAAAGTAACTGTCTTTTCTTAAAATTTCAGGTCCTTATAAAAAAAGGAATCTCTCTCTCTCTCTCTCTCTCCCCCAAGGATAGACAATCCTAATTAAAAAAGACCTTACATGTTTTTGTTTTTTTCGTTTTAGAATTGCGTGTTACAGTTATTGTTTAACGTTTACTATCTTTTTCATAGTATACAATCTTCAATTTTTCTTGTCACGAGGACGGCTTATTAGGAATCATTTATTTATTTAACCTCTACAAAGAAAGAAAATGAGTTATTAATGGGACGTTTGGTTCATGAATTTAAAATTATGATTCAGAATTATTCTCATTTTACGTGTATTTTTTGTGAGAAAAAATATTGTAACGAACCACGACTTATGATTCAAATCATGGTACGAATCTCCCTTCTAAACGTCCTCTAAATGATCCTAATCCTTCAATGCATTTATTCTACAAATAATAATAATGTGTTTAAGAATGAAGAATTTTTTTCTGTCTGAGCTCCTACTTGAGATTTGATATACAACTCGGACCCACTCTCATGCATTTAAAAAATAAATAAATGAAAAATGAAAAAATAATTGCGCCTGATCTTAAAAATCGTACAAAATTATGAGGCAAATAATAGCAGACTATTATATCTATCTATTATGATGTTGGCTAGTTGGACGGGTTCAGAATCTAAATCTAAACTCTTCACAAGGAAAAAGAGAAAGGAAAAGAAAATAAAAACAAAACAAGGGAAAAAGAAAAAAGTTGAATCATAATTGAAGAGTTAAATTATTCAAACCATGATCTTATTCTTTTTGTCCTTTTGCAATATTGAATGAACTTCTTGGCTCTTGCCAATAAAGTCTCTTCTTTATCGTCATCGACTTGAGTTGAAAAGTTTCTTTTTTAAACCATATTTGGTGGCTGAAAATTCACGTTTGTTGTTGAAGAATTTTATAAGTTAGGGTTAACGAAGGATTAAGGAATGTCTTCAACAGTTGTTTTCGGATGCGTCATCACATGTCATGCTCACCGCCGGAAACACAGAAAATGCATCCTATTTAAACCTTTTTTTTTTTTTTTTTTGGCCCTTTTCATACCAGACATAAGTTTCGTCTAAGGACCGATAAGACCAAGCTGTCGCATGTAATATAAAGAATTGGAAAATATAAATACTATTTGTTAAATCTAACGTCAACATTTAAAAAAAAAGAGATAAATATTTATATGAGTTTAGATTTTTATTTTTTATTTTTAATTAATATTTTTTTTAGTTAAATAACTATTTTAATTGAAAAAAATTAAAAATTTAGACTGATGCACTTAAAAAGTAAAATTCAACAATTTTCTCTTAAAAAAATGTAACAATGGTCTAAATTAGATGTGTTAATTTAGATTAAATTCGATGAGTCGACCTGAAAATTAGGAGACGTTTGGTTCATAGATTAAAATTATAAGATTATAATTATTTTTTATTTACGTATATTTTTTATGAGAAAAAATATTATAACAAACCACAAATTATAATTTAAATCGAGGTACGAATTCTCGAATCAAATAACTCCTCCGTTTGTTTGGGCTTAAAGATCCAGGCTCGAAAGTGAAATTAGATACCACTACCCGGTTAACCTGTAAGTATTATTATTATTATTATTATTATTATATAAAATTTTAGGTCAGGTCTGGACTAATCATAGGTCGACTTTTTACTTAAACCTTGCCTCCTTTTTATTTTTTTTTCGGACCCACCCGATTTCACAATCTGATAAACTGAATTAACACCTAGATAGTACTACTTCTTTAATGTCATACATATTCATTTATGTATGTATGCACACACATATATATATGCATATGATATTAGTAAATCCATACAAGGTGTTAAATAAAACCAATTACAACGATGAATAATATCTTTGGGCCTGTTCGGCAATTATAAGAGCTTGTTTTTTGAGTGAAAAATTTTAAAAAAGGTAACTTGAGTTATAATTTTATTTGAGTTCATGTTCTTTTAAATTTAAACTCGAGTTCAAACTCGAGTTTAGAACTAAAACTCGAGTTCAAATTTCCCTTTTAACTCAAGTTCAGAAACTCGAACTCAAATTAATGAACAATATTTTTTCTATTCTTAAAAATGCAATAACTTTTTCGTTTTAATTATGATTGAGATGATTTTTTTTATGCGTTGACAACGAAAAGACGAATAAAACCCGACCCATATACCATATTAAAAATTTTCATCAACATTGAGTTTTTATTAAAATACAAATTCAAGTTTTGACTCATTCAAACACAAACTCAAAAAGATTCTTATCTCAAACCATAACTCAAATGTTCACAACCAAACACAAACTCAAGTTACAAGTTCAACTCAAGTTATAACTCAAATTCAACTCAAGAATTATACTCAAGTTAAACTCCAAAAGAACAAGCCATTTTTTGAGTGAAAAACTCAAAAAAAGTAACTCGAGTTACAACTTTATTCGAGTTCATGTTCTTTTAAGTTTGAACTCGAGTTTGGGACTAAAACTCGAGTTCAAGTTTCCCCTTCAACTCGAGTTCAAAAACTCGAACTCAAGTTAATGAACAATATTTTTTTTATTCTTAAAAATCCTATAACTTTTTCGTTTTAATTCTGATTGAGATGATTTTTTTTCCTATGCGTTGACAACGAAATAACGAATAAAACTAGACCCATATACCCTATTAAAATTTTTCATTAGCATTGAGTTTTTCTTAAAATACTATCTAAATACAAATTCAAGTTTTGACTTACTCAAACACAAATTCAAAAAGATTCTTCTCTCAAACCATAACTCAAATGTACACAACCAAACACAAACTCAAGTTACAACTTCAACTTAAATTATCACTCAAACTCAATTCAAAATCTACACTCAAATTACATAACTCAAAAATGTCAAAAGAACATGCCCAATTATTATTAGTAGTTGTTGACACCACAAAAAGTATGAGGACTAGAGGGATGATTTACATTTTTATCTTTACTCTTTCTAAATCTATTATAATATCATTTGTGATTTAGAAAACAACTATAGAGTCACTAGTAGGCACTAAATACTAAGAAGCATATCACTACAAGAAAATGGGGTTTTTGCGACGACAAAAAGTCATCGCAAAAAACTGAATGTCGTCGCAAATAACATTTTTTGTGACGATAAATTGTCGTCGTAAATAATTCATCGCAAATAAATTATTTGCGACGACACAATATTGTCGCAAATGTATTTGCGACCATAATCGTCGCAAATTTCTCGTGATATGATCCATTTTTGCGACGACATTTCAAATTATCGTCGCAAATAAGCCTATTTTTTGTGACAAAAAATTTTAAAAAGTCGTCGCAAAAACACCGAATTTAATTTTTTTTATAAGTTTTAAAAAATGCCACCCTGCGCGCGCCAGTGCCACCCTGCGTCCGCGCTCGTGCCCTTTTTTGGCCCCAAGCGCGCGCGCCCGTGCCACCCCCGCGCGCGCCAGTGCCACCCCGCGCGCGGGCAAGTGCCTCCTCAGAAGCACGTGATACTCCATTAATTCACCCCAATCAACAGAAATCAAAATTCAATTTTTTTTCATAAAATTGACACATTAAAAAAAACAGCTAAGGATGAAGTCATTATTTACCTAAGGCCTCGGTCGATGACGCAACCGAGCTCGAGGCGGCTTGGCTGGGGCGGCCGGGCTCGAAGGAGGGATCGGCCACGGGAGAGAACTCGGTGAAGATGGAAAGCGAGCCCTCGTTGGGGCGGTCGCGGTAGGGCTGGGTGAGCTGAGCAGTCATGGCGGGGGGGGGCGGCGGGAGGGGCGGCGGGGGCCCGGGGGGGGGGGAG